TGTGGTAAGAGTTGACTAATAGGGATTTTAGGTACTTCGAAGTCAGAATGCATACCTCAGAGGCAAGGAACCAACAGGAGTACAGGGTACAATTAAGCACACAGCACAAAGATGGCGTAAATGAAAAATCAATAATCTGGTGAAGGTAGTCTGGGCGCGCTGCTGAAATGGAACTCGTATTATGGATATCGCAACCTTTCGGCCTTGATTCCATTGTAAATACCGTAAATCTGGGAGAAATGTGGCTTTTCTGCCTACCCCCGGGATTGAACCCGGACCACAAGGAGTTCGTCACCCAGTCTCCGCGCAATCCGGTTTAGCCAACTACGCTAGAGAGCCGGGCGCAGTCAGATCTGTTAAATGGACGTATACGCAATACTCTGATTCTGGAACAAGATTAGAGTCCAGAGGTGGATGAACAACCAGAACTTTCCATCGGAGTTTACAGCCGGTGAACGCGAAAAAGAAACATTTCTCAAATCTATGTACATGGGAAATGGCTATACGCGCAAACGTTTTCTTTTTATAGATTACTCGAAAAACGAAATGTTTGATGCTAAAAAAAATAATTATAAATAACCAATCTTTAGTATATGGCACTATGTGAACAAGATTTACAAGTTCCTTATGATAGAATTTGCCAGATTTGAATTGCGGGTAATACGTTTAACCTGTCTCTGGAGCTTGGGCATATTTGTAGTTACGCCACGGGTTTTCATTTCATATGAAATTGACTTTGGGTTTTTAGTTTTCTGGTAGAATTTATTATTTTAAGTTATCTATGTGATTTCCAGGTGAAATGATCGTACTGTTTCCCCAAGCGCCCCAAGAGTCAAGCTTCCGGATACGCCCCTTTACCTACCCAGAATACCCTGGATACTGTGTGTGTTCTCCAGCTCTGGCCGATTATGCACATCGACCTGATAATAATATTCGATTGAACCCCCATAGATGAGGACGACTGCCCACTTAGGGCTGCAACTAATTGCCTTCACAGCAGACATGAAGCAAACGTTGTTTGAGATTCTGCAGGTACGTTTTTGTCGTGTAGACGTTGTAGAATGGCGGTGTGTTACTGCGGGAGGCTGCTGCAGACTGCCGTGCAACAAATAGTTGGGAATTGTCAGGGGGATTAACATTGACACGGTCGTCAGACCAGACTCACATACAGTACAGCCAGTTATTGTTGGGTCACACACTTTCATCGACTGGTGGAGGTGTTACCGTCACATACACGATTAGAAGGGGAATTGCTGTGTGTTCTGTTTAATATTTGTTAGTTTATTGCGAATGGATATTCATTAACAATTTAAATTTAAATTTAATATCAAGTGAATCAACAGAGTCTGCTGTTCAGTGTTCTCCTATCATAAATTCTATGATATGATCTGTCTGAACAATAATTATAATTAATAAGTTAAATTAATTGGGATAATAATAGAACGTTTTTCTATTTCGTTAATGGATTATTTATTATTTTTGCATATCAATTTTATTTTTGGTTATTTAATTTGAATATTGCATAGCTTCATTATATTATATACTTATACTTATACTGATTGTGACATTATAATAATTAATATCATTATAGGAGTATAGTCTATACTCCTATAATGAAATTATAATGTCACAATCTTCTTTACTATAGAATTAGATAATAATATTATAATTGCTTTAATATATTATGATCCTATACTTTAATAAATATTAATATATGTATACTTTTCAAGTAACAAACATAGTCATAGTGATAATCTGTCTGGGAATATTTAAAGTGATATATCTTTTATTTTAATTATACCTCAGAATTATTGTGTCTTAAAAGATCTATTAACAAAAATATAGTCTATATATTTATTAATAAATCTTGAATCTAATCATGTTAATTAGTCACAAATTACTAATTAGTTATTGTAGAATTTGAGTATATAATAATTTAAAATACTATATTAACTCTTTGAGTCCCATGGGGTTTAGCATCACAGGGGGTTGCCAAACATTTCAGCCCTTCATTACTTAATTTAAATATCCTAGGTTTGGGTAAATGAAGATAATTTAACATGAATGGCAAGTAATATTAAATAGTAGTAAAGAAAGTAAAAAAATCAGCGCATCATGCATTCATTGGGCTTCGAGGTAGAAACCGATGAACGTATGATGCGTTCCTTGGGACTCAAAGAGTTAATGGGGAGCAGCCATGCTGTAATGGCTAAACGCTCACCTGCGGATTGAAAGGTCATAGGTTTGTGTCCTGACGGAGCCAGACTTTAAAAAAAAAAAAAATTGGCCTTTGCTTCACGGTCAACTAAGCCTTGAGTGAGAACCAGGTAAAGTTCTGGGAAATAAAGGCAGCCGACGTGATGCTGACCACATCACCCACCAAGTGCCAGTTGGTTTATAAAATATAGGTCTAGCCCTATATGCCCAATACACCTAAAGGCATGGACAATAGTCCTTTACTTTGCTTTACTTATAATTTACAAACTAATCGTCTGAGTATTACATCAGTATTGCCACATTTTAATCAATAATTTATCACTGTTAAGTTTATCCTTTTAAACCAATCTGATTCTGGGTTATAATTCATCAGAATTTGCATATAAAGTAATATAGAGTTGTCTTTCCCGTTATTGGATGTTCAGCGTGTGTATGATGTCAGTTACTTTTGGTTATTAAGGACTGTATAGATTCTATGTTAATGAATCATGGGCTAATTTTTCTGTTGAAAGTATATATAACCTAAGTATTAATAGTACTTTTCCCTTGCTATTAGACATGTTAAATACTGATCTTTATTTAACACCCAAACATTATCTAGGATATTTAAATTAAGTAATGAAGGGATGAAATGTTTGGCATTGGGTGGTCATTCTGTCTAATTCTGTACCCACACACTTTTACACAGCCACACACACACACACAGTCATTCACTCAGTTTTATACATACATATGCACAGACTCATACATATACACAGACTCATACATATGCACAGACTCATACATATACACAGACTCATACATATGCACAGACTCATACATATACATACATACGCACAATTACTGGTCTTGCACATCCTGCTGTTTTTCAAATTTTAATTCAGAGAGGGGAAGGAGAACTCTGTAACACAAAATCCCATGAAGATATTACATGTAAAGCATTCTGTCATCTTGTTAATTCATGTTTACAAATTTTGTATAACTATTGTAATGAATGTATTTTCATTCAGAAACATCACCACTGACAAGTTGTACAATATAGAAATCAACTATGGCTGGGTCCCAAGGTAAATATTTGCCTTTTTTTTTAAATTTGTGTAATATTTGAATCTGAGCTCAGACACAATGTTGTTTATTTGTTCAGTATTACCTAGGGCAGGGAATCCAAAGGTTTCATTGCTCAGCTAACTAAGCTTGGCATGACACTGTGAGCTGTAAAGTTCATGCATAATGTTTTCTTCATTGTGCACATTAGTTGCGTTTTGTAAACTGCACTAAAAATATTAGGTGCCAGTTACATTCTGAATGGCATGTACTTAGAGAATATTGCATGACAATTCTGACTTTTGTGACTGATCAGCAGTGAGCTGCAAATCTGTTGAGGGACTGTGAGTGTTGGTAAATCTGATAGTCACCTTATGCATTCCCTTTGCGTGTGCTGGCTTATATATTTTGTATGGACTGATATGTTTTCTTTTGTTTTTTTTTTAAACTTGTGGTACAGTGAAGGCCACTTTGTGTGATTTGCACTGGTACAGGAATGAAGCGCTTGAGAGATGACCCATCTGCACTGAAGTTGGAACCTCTATCAATGAGAGTTAATTTTCTTGCTGAATTTCTGTCACAGACATACCCAGAAAATTTGTAAAATTACCCAGTATCCATTTTGTGGAGCTGGTTCGACCCTAGAGCCGTACTTATCCCCCCCCCCCCCCCCCGCCCCCCCAAAAAAAGGTGTGGGGAGAGAGAGAAAAAAGGAGTTTGCTACTGTCAGGATTTGAACCCAGACCACTGTCTTGTTAAGCTGGTATATTAATAACAATACCACGGAAATTCCAATCACATATGTGAGCCATCAGATGTTTGTACACAAAGTGTTTAACCTTTTCACTGCTTAAAAAAAAGTTTTTAATGACTTATTATGGATCAAGATTTGTCTAGACCTGCCTCTTTTCCTCTTCCCCTTTACTGTGTCCGGTCATGTTGTTTTAAAGTGGCTGGTGGATCCTAATTGGCTATATAGATGGCTCTGTGTTGAGGGACAGAGAAAGCACATGGGTGTTCATAGCGAAGGCGAATGGACGTCATTTGGTGCAACAAAGCCTTGTATATGATATCACAATATCTAGTTTGAGAATGGAGGTGGAGGCGGTCACTGCTGCTTTCCACTGGCTTGAGAATCAGCTGCACATAAATGACGTCATTGTAACTGACTCACAGAGCATGTTGAGAAAGGTGGAGACAATCATGCTCCATGCAGAGTGGCAGGCATAACTTTGAAGGTCCCGGGTGGTTAGCATCCTTTAGATATTTTTTCCAGGTCATGCTGGTGTGTTGGGAAATGAGTATGCAGATAGGCTGGCCGGTTCTGCACCACTTGATGGTGAAATGATGTTGAACAAGCTAGATGTTGTGAGGGCCCTGTGGAGCCGAGGCACATATAGATCATTACGGCCTTAGGAGAATGGCGCTGCGAGAAGTTACAAGGGAATCTGGCAGACGCTTGACACTCAGGGGAAAGGCGAGACAGATATACAATCAGAGGGTTACTGTTACCATAGGAATTTTAACTCTTCGCTTGCTGCTGAAGATGGGACGGAGCGCTAATGGTGGTGTCCCGAGTGCTGTGATGTCAATTCTTCATTCAACATATAACATTTAGTGCATCTTATTCTGTATCCACACCACCACATTTTCTTTTTAAAGCAGATGGCTATTTTAAAAGTTGGCTGATTAATTTTGTTATCTTTACGTCATTGACAGTTTTTATTTGGTTATTTCAGATCCATGGAGAATTAGTGGAGAGGAACGCTCAAAACATGATATTCAGTTTTTTCAATTGAAACCAGTCAATGGCTTTGTGACAGGTAATTTGTATTATAGTGAATGTTTTGTCACTCTCCTTGTATTATAGAGGGGTCTCCGTGGTGACATGGTCAAGCTGTTTGCCTCGCTCTCTGGAGGTCAAGCTGTTTGCCTCGCTCTCTGGGGGTCAAGCTGTTTGCCCTGCTCTCTGGAGGTCAAGCAGTTTGCCTCGCTCTCTGGAGGTCAATCTGTTTGCCTTGCTCTCTGGAGGTCAAGCTGTTGGCCTTGCTCTCTGGAGGTCAAGCTGTTTGCCTTGCTCTCTTGAGGTCAAACTGTTTGCCTTGCTCTCTGGAGGTCAAGCTGTTTGCATTGCTCTCTGGAGGTCAAACTGTTGGCCTCACTCTCTGGAGGTCAAACTGTTGGCCTCGCTCTCTGGAGGTCAAGCTGTTTGCCTTGCTCTCTGGAGGTCAAACTGTTGGCCTTGCTCTCTGGAGGTCAAGCTGTTTGCCTTGCTCTCTTGAGGTCAAGCTGTTTGCCTCGCTGTCTGGAGGTCAAGCTGTTTGCCTCACTCTCTGAAGGTCATGGTTTCCTTTCACGCACACATCATTTAGTTCACGAGTGCACTTTTGACAGAGATCTCTTGGGATCATCACTTTAGTTATGGAGTTCTTTATACACCACCCTCAGCAGGCAGCTACTCATTCTGTGGAGAGAGACTGAGCTATATAGGATAAAACCTGGTGCAGTGAAGCGGATCCTCTTGACTTGAACCTCAGCTGTATGTATAGGCTTGACCAGCTGGATTATTTATTGAGCTTCTCCTTTAGTGGCCTGGTTCTGGAGAAGACATTAGTGATCATACTGTCCAATTAACTCAGTGTGTAGTATCTTCTTCTTAGCACTGACTGCTGTAAACTCAGCTGGAAAGCTCTGGTTCTCCAAAATAAAGCCCTGGAAGGTGAAGGTGAAGTGTAAAATGATATGCAGAGAAATTTAATTTAATTTTTTTTGTTCTTTTTTCTTTTCTCTACTCATGAAATGCCTCCTGACGTCAAGGCAGGAAGAGATCTCTGGAACGGGCTCTTTTGTTCACTTAATACAGGGTTTGTCCTGAAAATAATTGGACAAGCACATGTGCCGTGGTTAGGGGAAATCTCTGGGGTGGTGGGGAGTGTTAGCTATGCGTTGCAACCAGTCCCCGTTATTGACAGGCGGTTGGAGCTGGCAGATCCTGGAAGTAGTGAATCCCGTTACCAGTGACGTGTCTTGAAAAAATGAGCATTGTTTTGAATTTTTTTATTTGCTCACGCGGGCCTTCTTTGGTTAGGGGGACCCTTTCCGGTGCCGTTCAGAACATTGTCCTTTGGTCTCCGGATTGCACTCAGACATCTAGGATTCGTCTGCTGTGCTCACCTTCTGCAGAAAGTTTGGCTGTGTTGCCACACGCTCCAAAAGTTCTTGCAAAATTGTCACACGGCCTGCTTTGTTATGGTTTGTCAGCACTTTTTTCCATTAACTTTGCATACACTTTTCACATGCCAAATTCTTGCGTAAATTTCATAAACTTGTGTTTTGGGCGATTAATCGCACACTCTTTCGTTGATCACTGTTCAAACTGTACCGCACATGGTCTGAGTTTTCCTGTGTTTTGGTGGTGGAAGTTCAACCCACCCGTCTCTCATCCTCAGCATCTTCTCTCCCCTCCTTGAAAGTTCAGAAAGCCTTATGCCAGTTAAACACCATGGATCAACTGAAACACTCATTGCCATATGCTGTCTTAAACATTTCCAACGTCTCTGACCTGGATTTTCCGAGTTTGATGCAAAATTTAATTGCGTTATGCTGTTTGGTGGAGCGTTACATTTTTTCAGGACACCTCACTCGTACAGGGATTCACTACTTCCACAATCCGCCTGCTCCAACTGCATGTCGACAACGAGGACTGGTTGCAACACGTAGCTATAACCCCCCACCACTCCATCCAGCCATAGATTTTCCCACCCAGGAGGAATGCGTGAAACTACAGCGCTTGTCCAGTTACTTTCAGGAAAAACCCTGTATAAAGTAGTTTTTGGTGTCTCTGATATTTCTGCAGTCCATCTTCTCTGTTACCGTTGTATCTGTATAACATGGCTCTCTGTGGTGCCCTGTCTGATGCCAGTCATGAGTACATGGCCAGACCATTTTATTTGTTATCTACCCATAAAGTTCAGTATTGCTTCTGTGCTGATTCTCTTCCTAATATCATCATTAAGTCGATCTTTCCTTGTTATACCCAGCATAGTACGTAAACATTAAAATATTTGTATTTGATGCTGTTTAACCTGTTCTCATACTTTTTATCTTGCTCAGTGTTCCTTCCAACGCTACCCTACCTTTTCCACTGCTACCACCTATGTAATATGTATAAAATCCAGAACAATACTGCACTTGGGACACACAAGTAACTGCTTAGTCTCTCCAGCAGAATAAGAAAAGTGTGCATTTTCTGGGTTGGTTTTCTGGATTAAATATGTTTTGGAGCTACTCTTACCTGTGTTTATTGTTGTCAGAAGTTTAGTGTTTTTTTACTTTCATTGAGCTCACTAGTTACTTTTTGTGTTAATATGGCCTGCCTCTGCCTAGAAGGCAAGGAACCAACAGTCTGCATACCAATAACCTAGATATGTGGAGCAGATTTACATATAAAACTCAGTTTTGGGAACAAGGCTTGCATCAAAAAGTGGACAAACAGCCTGTACTTTCTGCAGGAGCTTACACCTGGTGAATGGTAAGAAGATGATGAAGATATGAAAATATGACCACAATAACTACGTGTTGGGGCTGATGAAGACCTTGGATATAAAGAAGAATATGTCATATTTCGTGGGAACAAAAGCTCTCAGATATTTTAGAGAGATGGATAATAAAAAAAAAAGGTGGTGACTTTTTATTTTTTAAAGTGAAATATTTTGTTCATGTAAAAGAAATAATATTCCTGTAAATACCGTGGGGGGGGGGGGATGGTTAAAAACCGGCCATATAAGAGATCCGGATATAAGATAATGGAGAAATAACCTGCAGCAAGTCTTATTTGACATATACTGGAACAAAAGGACAATGACGATGAAGTAAGAGGTAGACAGTGATACACATGAGAAGATAAAGTCAAGGTGGATGAACAGCATTTCCGAAAGAGTACAATCAGAGTAAGAGACAAAACTGTTGGAGATTCATTACAGCCAACATTTTTTTTGTGTGTGGAGATGACATCCAATTGATTTGTGAAGATTTTGGGTCACCATCCTGTTCATAACTGATACCAGAATAGGTATATAGCTTACATTTATTGCAGAAGAATTAGAACACCTTTTAACTATATCTGCCTCAGAACTGATTTTGCATTTATATATTTGAAAAGTAATCGTTTTTGTGGCTTCTTGGTTTTCTAAAGTGTATTGTTTTTTTACTTGAACAGGAACACAAGCAAGAGATTTCTTCCTTCAGTCTGGCTTACCTACACAAGTTTTAGGACAAATTTGGTATGTATATGTGCAGGATTGTTGATATTTGTTGATTCCATATCTATTTTGATGTTTTAAGTCTACCCTGACTTGCTAAAAATGGAACAAAGGAGAAACAACACACCCATCCATTGTCACTACCAGAAATCAGAACACTTATCAGGGAAAATACAAGGAATTATGGAGAGAACAAACAGTAAACATCCACAAGACCCCATCAGCAAACTCAACAGAAAGCAACATACACAAGCTGAGAAAGCTGATCAACTGGCAGGGGAAGGTGCGACAAAAGAGCAGCTGGATGTACCAGTCACATACCACCAAAAGAAAAGAATCATTAAATCGATCAGGAAACCACCAGCCCCAGCACAAGACGACTATTTTATTATGGACAGACCAGAACAAGTCATTATCCTCCTTCTCAGAACAGGGCACAACCGATTACCTAACCACATGTACACAAAATTCAAGATAGGTGTATCAGCCATGTGCACCTGTGGAAATGTGCCCCAGACAGCAGAGCATGTACTCCAGGACTGCACCGATTTTGACACATTAAGGCAAACCTTTTGGCCAGAAAGAACAACAGTGGAACGTAAACTCTATGGACCACTGAATGAACTAACAACGACAGTGAAATTTATACAAGAGACAAAACTGCTGATATAGACACCTTATTTCAGGCGAACAAAAGAAGAAGAAGAAGAACATACACAAATTGTCCGTCTACGAACAGGGCACTGCAGACTCAGCTCCCACATGCATAAAATAAAGATTGTACAGTCCCCACAGTGTGCCTGTCAAACAGGACCACAAACACCTGAGCACATTCTGCAGACCTGTCCACTCTACATACAACTTCGAAAAGACACTTGGCCTCAAGAGCAAAGTGTGCAGAGCAAGCTATAGGGAACCATGAAGGACCTGCTACTGACATGCGAGATCATAGAGCCAACCCACCTGATGGTATGATCTATGCTTACAAACCCGAAGGCAAAGAAGAAGAAGTCTACCCAAAAATAAAATGGGGGGGGGGGGGGGAGAATATTTTGTGTTGCCCTATTGGTATCATAAGTCCCTGTGTGGGTTCCGGGGCCCTATTATAGGGAAAACAAGAATAGACCCACTGCCTAATTGGGAGATTTCTTTGAAGTTTGAGTGTATCTGCCTGAGAGACAAGGAACCAGCAGTCTGCATACAAATTAGTCAGATCTGTAAAATGGATGCACACGCAACACTCAGGTTCTGAAACAGGACTGCAGTCCAGAAGTGGAGAACAACCAGAACTTTCCACTAGTTTACAGCTGGGGAATGCAAAGAAGAAGAAGATGTCATAAGTCTTCTGTAGCAGTTGCATAGAGACATGACCTTGGTATGAGTTACTGTATAATTTACATGAATTTTTATATTTTCCATTTAATGCTCCACACTATTTGTGTCCAATTTTCTGAGAGAGATTGAGCGTCTTTGGTTTTGCCCAGTGGGCTGTAATTTCTGTTCTTCATTAACTATTAATGTCAAAATACAATTGGAATTGGAATCATCATCATCAAAAGCCCTGTCATCTGGCGTAGGCGCTCATGCATCTTCACAGATCACGTTCCCTGGTTGCCTGGAACAGCTCTTTTAATTATATCCCTCCATGCCATTGTTTCAGCCCATCCAGCATCATCTCTCTTGGTCTACCTCTACCCCTTTTTCCCACTGATCTTTCCAGTTGTCACGATTTTCTCCAATGTCTCTCTTCTTTGAATGCACAGTATAAATAATTTAGTTGTTCACTGTGTTTAATTTCAGGACCTTAGCTGACATAAATGGAGATGGGAAAATGGACAAGAAGGAGTTCTCTATTGCTATGCATCTAATAAAGAAGAAGCTACAGGGATATGAGCTTCCCAAAGTGTTGCCTCCCAGCCTGAAGGCAGATCCTGCTCCTGTAGTGGGTTCTTTTGCTCAAGCTGCTGTGGGTAATATACCCATGGCCCAGCCAGCAGTGGGTAATATACCCATGTCACAACCCATGGGTTTCTCAATGGGAGGTATGTGCTTGTTTTCTGGAGAAATCAGATCATTCAGAGAATCTGTTGTGAAGTAATTTTAGTTTATTGAAAAATACCTCCTTGCCTGATTGTCTTTTTTTCATGAAAAATAAAATCAAAAGACTTTCTGGTATCATTCTCTTCTGTTCTCATGAAAAGTGAAACAAGGAAGGTTTTCTGATCTCATGTGAATCAAGAGTTTAATTTCTCACTTAACATCAAATTATTGAGTAAAACTAGAAACAGCACAAGGATTGAATTACAACATTCTATGAGTGATGCACAACTAACTTTTTGTTTTTTCTTTTAAAGTTGAATAATTGTGTGGTAGAGATCTACCCTGTTTTGCAAGCCAGTGCCTCCAGGCTTGTGGGCTATATCTGTAGTCTCGGTTTGGGACCCTTTCAGGTTTCTTTCGTTAACTTACAGTTCCATACCTAGCTTAGTTGAGGAAGACCATAGAACAGTGGCTCTCAACCTTCCTAATGCCACGACCCTTTAATACAGTTCCTAATGTTGTGGCGCCCGGAATGGGTACCGGGATGAATGTTCTGGGAAAGTAAAGACAGCCGGCGTAATGCTGAACACATGACCCATCTAGTGCAGATTGGTCTGTAAAAATATGGTTTCTCTTCTCACATGCCCAATGTGCCTAAAGGCGTGAAAAGGGATCATTACTTTACGTACAATTATTTCCATTATTAGTTCATAACTTCAATGACTATGTGCTTTCTGATGGTCTTCGGCGACCCCTGTGAAAGTGTCGTTCGACCCAAAAAAAGGTCGCAACCCACAGGTTGAGAATCGCTGCCTTAAAACCACTCACCTCCTGTCATGTTCCTGAATATATATGTCCCCATAAAACGGACATTTGTTTCCAATGTCTGGTTTATAATGTTGTTTGAAACAATATTCCATGCTTTTATTGAAAAAAAAAAATAAGAACTTTTTTTTCTTCTATACCTTGAAGTGTACAGGCAATATGGTGCTAACGTCCCTATTTGTATAGAGTAATCAACACTTGTTGGATGATGTATCCAGTATTCTTCTGGCTGGCTCTACTCCCCAAAACATTTTATGGTACATATTTTAGGGAAAGCAACATTTAAAAAAATCCTTACGAGATGTCTGCTGGGCTGATAGATGAATGTATTAGCCACACTCCTCATCTGCAGGCCTCCTGCCTCTCCATTTTTAATCTTAACCCTATTGCCATGCAAATGCTCAAAATAATGAGCCATGAACCTGCTGGAATTTTGAGGAAAATCATTTGAACAACGGGGAAAAAAAAAACACCTGTATCACACAGATCACTAATGGCTGTATCAAAACAGCAAAAAAATAGCTGCATAATTTAAAAAAAAGGGTAGCTACCTGGGTAATAGTGGCTGCTGTAATAGGGTCATTGTTATATGCTTACCTGCCAACCTGAAAGTCTTGTATTTTGTTTGTTTGTTCATTTTGTTTTTCTGAATTGACATTGGCTGCCAGGTTGACCCAGCCTAAAATGTTGTTGTCCCTGGTAATGTCCTGGTAAGTCAAATTGGCGGATATATTACCACGTCACCTACTGAGCACTGATTGGTCTGTTAAAAGTACCAGTCTAGTATCATATGCCCGGAAGACGCCCTGGTGTAGCGGCTATACGAGTGCTGTGGATTGGAAGGTCGTGAGTTTGGGTCCTGACTGAGCCGGTCTTGTTAAAAAAAATGACCTTGGCTTCCAGGTCAACCCAGCATTAAGTGGGTAGCAGGTGCAGTCCTGGGAAGTAAACGTGGTCGGCATGATGCTGACCACTTTACCCACCAAATGCTGATTGGTGTATAAAATACAGGTCTAGCCCTATATACCCAAAATGCCTGAAGACCTAGAAAAGGGCCATTTACTTTACAGTGGGTAATAAACCCACGTCTCAGCCAAGGGCAATGGGTTTCACAATTGGAGAATGTCTTTTGGATTGCTCATTTCTCTTTTTCTAGAAAATCAGATTTGTGGTTTAGTTTAAACCTTGTTTGATAATTTTTTTCAGAAGTCTGATATTTTGTCCGTTGATAAAGACTTTATTCGAAAAGTATGGGTGTACATATCTTGTTGGCCCCTCCATCGAGCGATCTAGTCATTTTCTGAGTTGTGTTTAATTACTTCTTGATAGGTATGAGGTAGTTGCATCTGCAGTTGTTGAGAATTCTTCATTTTGGTCAATGTAGGTATGCAGTCGTCGGTGGGAATAGGGATGCCACTGATCCAGCCTCAAGCATCTCTAGGAACTGCTACTATGACAACAGGGTCCTTAGGCTTGGGCCCACTCATGTCAAATGGTATCACTGGCAGTTTCTCCCATGGAGGTATGGCTCCTTTACCTTTGACTGCTCCCATCCCATTAGCAAGTGAATGTGTATCAGTTATACTTGATGGGGTCTAGGGCTCCTGGGAGAAATGGGGGAAGGGGATAGACCCATTGACCTTTAACAAGCATGTCATCTTCTTCTTCGTTTTCACCGGCTGTAAACTCTGGTGGAAAGTTCTGGTTGCTTGTCCATCTCTGGACTTCATCTTGTTCCAGAACCTGAGTGTTGGTTGCACATCTGTTCAACAGATCTGACTTAATTGTGTGCAGATTGTTGGTTCCTTGCCTCTCAGGCAGATGCACTCCAACTTCAAAAGATGCCCCTAGTTAGTTGACTTTTACGACATGCTTGTTGGGGGAGGCAGTGGGTCTATTATTTTGTTCCCCCAGAACCCACATGGGGAACAACCGTATAATAAAGGGTAACTAATTAAGGGCTCAGTAAAATTGGATTTGTTGGGTTGAAAGGCGCATCATCAAAATCTGGTTGTAAATCACATCTGAACGTGTCAAACACATTTCTGGGGACTGAAAGAATTCATGCTTGATTTATTATCATGAATTATTAATATACAAACTTATTATTTTTCTTCTTCACTTCGGCAGAAAGTTCTGGGTGTTTCGTCCGGGATTTAATCTTGTTTCAGAGCCTGAGTGTTGTGTGCACATCTGTTTTAACCTATCTGGCTTATTTGTGTGCAAACTCTTGGTTCCTTGCCTCTCAGGCAGATGTGCTCTGACTTGGAAGGATGTCCCCAGCTAGTTGACTACTACGACATACTAGTTGGGGAGGCTATGTGTCTCTTCTTGTCCTCCCCCCCCCCCCCCTACCCACACTGGGACTCCAGAACCTGCATGGGGAATGCTTTTTTAAAGTCAGGGATCTGTTTTCATGTCTTAAGGCAAGTGGAACTAGATTCACATTTTATGTAGTAACTAGCACTCGATTGCTGGTGTGGTTGATATATGGCAACCACCTTGATTTCCCAGGACATATACTAATACAGTTTTAACAGTTTTTTAACATTGGAGCCTCTGTCGAGTTCTGGTAATGTAGGCGGAGAAACATGATTGCTCCCACCAGTCATAATCATCATTATATCACCATTGTCCTGTTATGCCATTCATCTTCTTCTGCCTTCCATCCCCCTATGGAGCATTGGCCCCCAACCAACTCACGCCAAGTCGTTCTATCCTTTGCTGTTGCATGCAGGTCACCTTTTGTCCTCTCCATCTTTTACCTTCACTCTCTAGTTCCCTTCTTCATGTGTTTTTTGTTAGCCTTTATTTCTATGCCCCTGTGGGTTCCAGTGCAAAGATTTTCTAACTATATTGTTGTCAGTTTTTCCTAATGTGTGTCTAACACCAGTGTCTTTCTTCACCTCTTGGTCCACTGGAACTTGTTCAGTTCTCTCCCAAAGCTCTACATTAGTGATTCTGTCTTACCGTTTAATTCCCTCTCTTCTACCCAGGCACCAGTGAAGACATTTTTTAGTTTATTATTGGTTGTTTTAGTTGTTCTCCATGTTTCCGCTCAATACAGCAGCACTTATTTAACATCAAAATTAAAAATGTTAAGTTTAATATTAGTTTTTAAATTTTTTTTTGGACCTCCACAGATTTCCTAGTGCTATGAAAGCTGCTCGTGCCTTTTTCTTCTTTTTTTTGGCCATTTTATGTCATGTATGGCTCACTGTTCCTCGATTGGGTTCTGTCTGTGCAATCAGTTGACATTCATCGATAAAATCCAGTCCAGCTCCATTGGCCTGTCTCATCGTTTGTTTTAGGGTTTCTTGTGTGGCATTGCATTCTCTCACCATACCTATTCAATATATACACAGAAAATATAATGAGAAATGTCAAAAATGACCAGACTCAAAATTGGTGGCAACCCTATTCCGGAACTTTGCTACGCAGATGACGCAGTAAATGGAATATAAAATTTAATATTGTCTGTCCAAAAGCACAGTGAAGATCAAAATCTTTTCTTTAATTTAAAGAAAACAAAATTATGTCCACAGAAAAAACTGGCTGTCACCCAAAAATAACAATACACGATGAAGAAATTGAAAATTTCAAACTTTGAATATCTAGGCTTTATAATAAACAGCAATGGAGACTGTTTGACAGAAATTAAAAGGAGGATGGCCATAGCAATGTAAACATTGAAGTCTATGGTTAAGCACCAGCAAGTAGATCAAAATTAGAATTTGAGAGCATGCATCTTCCCTGTGGCTACATACGGATGTGAGTCGTGGACTATCTCTCAGTCCTTAAGAAAGAGAATAGGAGCTTTTGAGCTGAAATGCTATAGAAAGATTCTCAGATTATCTTGGACAAAGAAGAGAAATACTGACATCTTGAAAGATCTGAATATCAAGGAAGATTGGCTAATAAACCGCATCCTGTCTCTGAAGCTGAAATATTTTGGTCATATCAAGCACCACGACAGATTGGAAAAAATTATAGCATAAGGCATGGTACCAGGAAGGAGGGGCAGGCGCTGACCGACACGAAGATGGACACAGGATATAAGTGACTCCTTGAGTATGAAAGTACATGAGGTGGGAGAACTGGCGAGAGACCGAGTTTCTTTCAGGCAGACTGTGATGAGAGCGACGTTCTTCAAAGGACCTGATACATGATGATGATGTGTAGCATACTTGCTTCGTCAATCCCTTTATTTCCCATTCGGGGCCTGTTTAGTGATTCTCTGCTGTTTTCTTCTCAGAATGTGCGCAGTATAGTGCCTTCTTTTTTTATTTTTATTTTTTTATTTTCTTATAACAATTGTTACGAGTAGTTGCCTAGACATTTTTCTTATTGCTTCAAACCGCTTGAATTGACACCCCCCCCCCCCCCACCCTTTTGTTTTAAAATATCAGTCAATGCATTGCAACCACTGTTACTTCCCAGAACATTTCCTAGTACAATAATTTTAGGCTGGGTTGACATGGACGCCCTTGGAAAATTCTTAAAAAATTTTTGGAGAAACATGATTACTTGTGCTAGTTAGCAAGACACTTAATGATGATGATGAATACCATTACTTTTAGTAATATGCAAATATAAATCTAAACATAAATATAATACTTTGTAAAAAATGACCATTTCACAAGTGAAATGATGCTAAATGTCGGTTCCTTGAAACAGTCATCAGAGAACTAAACTTAGAAAATTTGGTGACGGCTTGTAAGCTTGATGAGAAAGGAGCAAAGGAAGATAACGCTACATGACACAATTGAGGCAAGAACACATACTGCGTCTGAGATTGGTGAATATTTAAGATGGCAAGTTATGACAGATTGGTGAATATTTAAGATGGCAAGTTATGACAGATTGGTGAATATTTAAGATGGCAAGTTATGACAGATTGGTGAATATTTAAGATGGCAAGTTATGACAGATTGGTGAATATTTTAGATGGCAAGTTATGACAGATTGGTGAATATTTAAGGTGGCAAGTTATGACAGATTGGTGAATATTTAAGATGGCAAGTTATGACAGATTGGTGAATATTTAAGATGGCAAGTTATGACAAATTGGTGACTATTTAAGATGGCAAGTTATGACAAATTGGTGAATATTTAAGATGGCAAGTTATGACAAATTGGTGAATATTTAAGATGGCAAGTTATGACAGATTGGTGAATATTTAAGATGGCAAGTTATGACAGATTGGTGAATATTTAAGATGGCAAGTTATGACAGATTGGTGAATATTTAAGGACAAGTTATGACCTACAGATTATGAATATTTTTAGATAGCAAGTTATGACAGATTGGTGAATATTTAAGATGGCAAGTTATGACAGATTGGTGAATATTTAAGATGGCAAGTTATGACTTATGGACATGGTACATTTTGATGGTGATTTAAAAACATTAGTCTCAAGGGACGGAAGAAGTTAACTACAAAGTTCCATATGTAATAAGTTAATTAGTTAGTTAGTTAGTTAGTCTTTCCTCTTGTGTCGAGTGCGGCACATAGGGCAGAGGTCATGACTCTCCATGCATGGCGGTTCGTTGCAATCTGTTGTAGGTCTTGGATGTTTGAATGGCCCATGAGCGAGCCTTCCCTGATGATAGTTCTACGTAGAGTTTCCCTTGGTCTTCCACGAGATCTTTTCCCCTGTGGTGTCCAAATAAGGGCTTGGTAAGGAAGTCTTGATTTATCCATTCTAAGGGCGTGGCCGACATAGTTCCAGCGGCGTTTTCGTATAAAATTAGACACATACTCTTGCTTGGATTCTTGCCTTATTTGTGTATTGGTTCGGAAATCTGACCATTTGAAATTTAAGTTAATTAAGTTGAGTTAATTAGAGAGAATATATTAGTAATATGTTTGTGATGTTGTATTTTCAGCTGTTCCTGGAGGTGCTGCTTTTCAATCAGGGTGAGCTTTTCAAAGATTTGGACTGAATGTTAAACAAGGATTTTATTTATAGTATAATTTCAGTCTGAATGTTGAGACAGTATCATTTTTCATAAACTGAAACACTTTATCAATATCTAACAATCTATTGGCTGGGAGGCAACAGTACTGAAGAGTGTGGGCCCTGGAAAAAGAAGCAGGAGTTTGCTTGTGCAGCAATAGACACTGAATGTCAAGGACAGTGAGGTCGAGTGGCTTTCCAATGTGCTATGATCTATATTCATTTGATCCCTGCTTATTATCTTAATGAGTTGTGCAGTCTGTCACTTCATTATTTCATGACCTAGTACGAGGGAAAGTCAACTGGTAAAGTCACAAATGGTTATGGGATAGCATTAGGTGGCGCTATGTGTTGCATGCGCATTCGCAACACAGAAACAAAGTACTTACGTAATGTACACTCAAAGAACTACGTGTTGTTTTGAGGTTTTTTCTTTGGCAAAAGGGCTGCCTGCAAAGGCATTTATAAGGAAATGCTTCCTGTTTGTGCTGACAAATGTTTATCCCATAAAGCAGCGCATAGCTGGGTAAAAAATTCAAAGAAAACGTCCAGGCTTGCTGATAGAGTACTGCTCCTGTATGACAATGCCAGACCACATACGGCTTGGTTAAAGTTGTAAACATCTTTAATTTTTATTTGTATTTGAAACAACCGTTTGTGACTTACTTATTGACTTCTCCTCTTATATGTTATTCAACACTTCCAACAGATTATTATTTATTTATAACATCAGAGGAACGATGTGTGACAAAAACGAAGAGCAGAATTGGCCAGGCAAAGGCAGCATTTCATCAGATGTAAAGTATTTTACGTAATGAATCTCATTAAACATCAGAAAACGAGTAGTGAAATGTTATATCGAGCTTGTTCTGTTGAATTGCGGTGAATCTTGAAATGTGAGCAAACAAATTAAGAAGAGTTTTTTTTTAGACAACTGAGATGTAGTTCTTGAGAAGAATGTTGCAAGTACCTTGGACTACCAGAATAACTAACAATGATTGACTGGAAATGGCTAATGAAAGTAGAACATTGTGTACGGCAATGAGGAGACAAAGTTCTTTGGTCATGTGAGGAGAAAAGGAGCACTGGAAAATACCGTGACGACCATAGAGATCACTGGTAGCAGAGGCAGACAAGAGAAATGAGGTGGATGGCTTAAGACAGTGGCATGGAGGAATATCATCAGTGGCATTGATCCAGAACACCAAAAACCAAGATCTGTAGAGATGCATGAACGCCTAAGCCATCTGGCAAGGCACTTGATGATGATGACAGATTGGTATAGTTAAAGCTGGAAAGTAAATGGAGTTTTTTTTTTTTTTTTTTCTTGAAGCATTGTCCTCTGACTTTTTTAAAAATTTGTTTTATTTCAGTGGGAGTGTTTGGGCCATACCTCCAGCTGCCAGAATGAAACACGCCCAGAGTTTCAATATATGTGACAAAAACAAGAAGGGATATTTGCTAGGTTTGTTTACGCCTTCATTCTTGTCTGATGCCAGGTTTATTCTAAATGTCTTGTTGTGTATCTTGAACTCTTTCTTTCTGAGCCAACTTCAGCCCTTTCTGCCATCAGAAGTTTTAGTTTGTAATAGGCATTTTTTTTTTTTAATGCACAAAAAAGAGTTAAACTTGACAACTAAGATTAATGAGTTGCATGGTACCAAAAGAGTTAATGTGAACTGGGGTGAATTGAAATCCCATGACAGCCCCAGTCTTCCTCTAATATATGTACAAACAGTTATTGTTGTCTTTGTGCATAATGTTTTCTCATTTCTTTATTTGTTATTTTTTGTTTTTGTCAGGGGTGGAAGCTCGGGCCATTCTAATGCAGTCTGGACTACCCCAACCTGTCTTAGCTCAGATATGGTAAGTAATGCTGGCTCTTATGTTAGTATCTTCGTCTTTTTCTTTTTTGTTCAGCGACTGGAAGCTCCGGTGGAAAGTCCTGGTTGTTCGTCCATTTGGACTTGGCTTTGTGCCCGGGCCTGAGTTTGGCATGTACATCCGTTTTACTGGCTTATTTGTGTGCAGTTGATTGTTCCTTGATGCTCAGGCAGACACATTCCGACTTTGAAGGAAGTCCCCAGTTAGTTGACTCCTGCAATGCTTGTTGGGGAGGCAGTGGGTCTGTTATTGTTTTCCCCACAATGGGGCCCCAGAAACCACACAGGGATTGTGTTTTAAAAACGAATATTGCTGGACAGACACTTCAATAAATTGTGATAGCAGTGTTTATTGTTTAATTAAGAATCAACATCACAACACTCGGGACATTCCCATAAGCACTACTTCCCCCATCTTCAGCAGCAAACGCAGAGTTCAGTTCTGATAGTACCAATAATAGATTGTATATCCACCTCACTCCTTTTTCCTGAGTGTTGAATGTCGGTAAGATTCTCTGTTCAGTCCTCACACCGCCATTCTCCTCAGACTCTGATGATCCATCTGTGCCTCTACACTGTTCACTTACCAGAAAGTGCCCTTACACCATCTAGCTCATTATTTCCCAACACCCCACGGGGGTTTTTGGTAATTTGATTGTTAAGGGGAGCAGTTCGATTATTAAGGGTTGGCATTTCAAAAATGGACTCCTCCAGAGTTTAAGTTAACAGTATGGCAACTCTCGGTCACTATTCGAGCTGGGTAAACCTCCAGTACAGGTAACTTCTGTCCGCCGAGATTTAACTTTTAGACTCGAGGAGCAGACGTAGTTAAAACCACCTAAGTCAAAATAAAGAACCCTAACTCACATTATGGCCTCCAGAGAACACTGGAAAATACTCCATGTTCATTCTGTACTTGGGCCAAATCATGCTAAGTTGCTTACATTTCTCAGCATGCTCTGTGAGTCAGTTACAATTACAACAGCATCTGGATTTCAAGCCAGCGGAAGACTGAAGTGACTGCCTCCACCTCCATTCTCAGACTGGATGCTGTAGTAGCAGTGTATATTGTACCAATAGAAAAGGCAAGGGAAACTTTCAAAGCACTAAGAAACCTGACTTTGAATAGTTATCACTTTCTTCCCGTAATCCCTTTAGAAGAACAGCCCAGTTCCAGAGGAAAAAAAAACACATAAAACATTCCATTTTAGAAATACCAGTTAAGAATTGAGGCATTTACAGGACTAATCCACTGCCAGATATGCCTGGCTCACCACAGGGCAAAAGCGTCAAGTCCATCCTCAAATCTATACGGTCGTATGCAACAGAAACGTACACAACACATCTACTTCCTTGATGTGAGAAAAAACAAAATATGTCTGCTTTAGTAAATTCCAATTAACAAGCTGCGTTAAAATCTATTTATACATTTTAATTTATCAAACCCAATAGCTACATTTAATTTGGTCTGTGAACTAGAAGATTAAAACCAAATAACTGTATTAGATTTTGGAGGATTTGTACATCAGGTGTATGAAATTATGTCTGCTTTAGTAAATAAAAATTTAGTTTCTGCATTGAATTCTGTCTGTTGAGACCAGATACCTGTATTAAATTTTCTCTAGACTTTAAAATTTTCAAATTATATAGCTGCTTTTGTTCTTGATTTGAGTTCTGTCTGTGCTTTGCAAGATTTTTTTAACCTAAATGCTGTAATGGAAGTTTGTTACTATGAAGTTAGTGCATATTTTTTACAGAATGTTGTAGAACGAACAAAAATCAGTTTTCTGTCAAATTGCTCACAGCTGGAATCAGACCAGGTATTTTGGAATTATGAAGCAACAGCGACGCCTGAGCAACGGATGCTAACAGCGCTATGCTAACATCTTGCATTTGGTCTTACAGGTCATTGTCAGACATCGACAGAGATGGCAAGCTAACTTGTGATGAGTTTTGTATTGCCATGCATCTAACGGAGCTGGCTCGGATGGGGCAAGTACTCCCGCCTGCTCTACCTCCTGAACTGATGCCTATGAGATCAGCACCGGGAAGCATTATCTCAAATCCGCTGTCTGCTGTTGTACCAGGTACGTGTATGTATGAGAAATGTTAGTTAAAGTTATTTGCTTATCCTTTACAGGATATTGCAGAACCAACCCCAGCATTTATTGGTTGTTGTGGTTTTTCTAGACCAATTTTACTTGCAGTAGTTTGCTATTGCTTTCTTAATGGTCAGCTGTTGGTACCACTGTCGAAACCAGCGCCAATGTTAAGCAGCATGGGTCAAAATCGGCACCCCATCATTATGAAGTGCATTTGCAGCGCCTAAGCCACAGATGTCGATGTAGACGGAACGAGGTGGTAAAAACAAGAAGAGACAAGAGTCACCAATGTAGAAAACTAAGAATGGGCACAGTACCTGTAAATAGTATAATAGACCACAAAGAATGAAATGGTTTGGTCCTCTGGTCAGAATGGAACCAAATCAGCCAGCAGCTAGAGCGCACTACATGAGAACAGCAGACTGCAAGGCAAGAGGCCAACCAAGAAGGAGATGTGTGGTGGGAGAAAAAGAGACACTACAGAAATACAGTATGCCATTAACACAAGCTACTTAACTAGAACAAGACGGGAAACTACATTTGAACTAGACTACAACGTTTTACGACATAAGCAGTAGGACAAGATAAGAAGAAGAAGTTTGAAAAAAGCTGGGCAGCAAATATTTGAAGCACCTCAACCTCGTTATGATTTGAGGGTTGTGATCAACAAAGAAGGAGACAAACACTGTTCTTTGGCCTCATAATGAGAAGAGAGACATTGGAGAACATCGTGACAACTGAAAAGGTCAGTGGAAAGAGGGGTAGAGGCCAGACCAAGAGAGATGATGCTAGATGGGCTGAAACGATGGCATGGAGGGATATCATCAAGAGAGCTGTTCCAGTCAACCAGGTGTCATGATCTGTGGAGATGCATGAGTGCCTAGGCCAGTTAGCAGGGCATATGATGATGATGTACAACAAATCAAGGCAGGAAAAATAAACTGCAACTCGCATCTCATTAAAACTTTATTTTTCTTTGTAAATATGCAGCCAGAAATGCACTGGTTAAATAATTATCTGCTGGCCCAGAGGTCTTGTGTTCGAATCCACTCCCAGGGCAGGCCAGTCTGAAATGGGTTCCAGGGTGTGTCTGGAGAAGTAGAAGAGGCCGGCATGATGTTGACCACATAGCTAGTCCAGTGCATTGGCCTGAAAATATGTCTAGTTTGACATGCTCCCAGTTCACCACTGGTGTGGGGGGAAAAAAAATATCCTTTACCTTTTTTTTTAACCACTGAATGTAAAATATGTCACCATGTGAGCATTATTTTATTAAGCAAACTTTGTACAAACTTTGGGTTCACCATCAACAAAGATAAAACTGTAGCCATGCACCAGCCAGCCCTAGGGCAAAGATACATCGAGCCCAATATCACAGTGAATGGCTACAGATTAAACGTTGTCAGGAAATTTACTTATCTAGGCAGCACCCTTTCACAGAGTGCCACAACTGATGACAAAGTAAATGCAAGGATCTCTAGGGCTAGCGTTGCCTTTGGCAGATTGTACAAAAAATGTTTGTAACAGAAGTGGCATAACCCTGCAGACAAAGCTTAAAGTATACAGAGCAGTTGTATTAACTACACTGCTGTACACATGCGAAACATGGACTGTGTATCAGCGCCAGGCTAGAAAGTTAAACCACTTTCACACAGTCTGCCTTAGAAAACTAATGCATATCAGATGTCAAGACAAAGTACCTGATACCTTAGTCCTTGAGAAAGCAGCCATGCCCAGCAACCACACTCTACTGATGCAGTATCAGATTCGTTGGGCTGGTCATGTGGCACGCATGCCAGATCACAGGCTCCCAAAAAAGCTCTTCTTTGGTGAGCTGCAAAATGGGAAACGTTCCCAAAACGGGCAAAAGAAACGTTTTAAGGACACCTTGAAGTCTTCACTCAAAGCATTTGGGACGAATGACACCAATTGGGAGGCTGCCTCTCAGGACTGAAATGCATGGCGTGCAGCTCTACACAAGGTCGCAGCAACATGTGAAGCAAACAGAACAGCAAAACTTAATTAAGAAAAGGATGTTCAGAAAGGGCGACAGCAGGAGATCTCCCTGACACAACGCTCATTCCCTGTCCTCACTGTCCAAGAACTTTCCCGGCCCGCATCGGCCATCAGTCATCTTCGTACTCAAATTTGATGAAAAAGAGTGGTCATCATCATCCTTGTGGACAACACACATTTCAATAAGCTATAAAATATGGCTGTTTAATTAAGTTTACTCTGAGGCCAAAATGTTGAAAATGTGGATCGCCATGGGGGTAGAGGTCCAAGCACCAGCACAGAAATATTCTTAACACAATACAATTGGCAGAGATCCGCAGGTCATTTGCTAGGACTGTGCCGGCTGGATGTAGCCGGTGAGCCACCATTTGAATAGCCCTGTTATAAAAAAAAAGCTCCTAGGTTTAAGTAGTTTCTGTGAATTAATATGCATTAAAACAACCCTTATATGTGAAACTTTTTTTTTTTTAACACTGCTTTAAAAGTTTGTTACTTCTGCTAGGTGTTCAAAAAGATGCCTTTGGTGATCTGTTGGGCAGTGTGGGTATGCCCCTGCCAGTTGCTGCAGTACCACCATCTCAGCCTGTTGTTGAAGATGATGATCAAGGTATATGGAAGCAAAATTTGTACCATGTTTCTGTAATTTACTGGCTGAGTTGGCCCTTCAGTTGTGTGTGGTTATTGTGTATCATGCAGTGCTTTATCTGTACTTGCAGGTTCCCTCCTGTCTGTCTACTGCACAGTATTTTTACATTCATTAAGAATGTTGTTCTTCTTCTTCCTCCTCTGCTTCTTCTTTTTTTTTTCCTCCTTTTTTTCTTCTTCCTCCTTCTCATTTGTTCCCCTCTTCTTCTTCCTCCTCCACTTTTTTCTTCTTCCACCTCTTCTCCTTCCTCCTCATTCCTCTTTGTCTTCTTCTTCATCTTCTTCTTTGTCTTTCTTTCACCTCCTGCTTTCTCTTCTTTATCTTCTGCTTCTTTTTCTTAAGCGTCATTTGTATGTATAATTGAATATATGCATTTACTATCTGGGTTTTTGTGTATTTTACTTAATATCTATTTTGTTTTATAAACATAACATGCTTGAAAGATGAAATAAATTTGCAGCAATATAAAAGAATATGAGTGTTTGGAAGGGCGGAATGTAAGATGGGCCTGCGGGCCCAATTTGTCACCAATTGAAAATAACATTTGTTTGTTTCTGCTTTATCGCTCTGAGCAAACCAGCTGACACTCTGACTCCCTGAGCAAATATTATAATGTGAAGATGATGATAGTTCCAGTAACATGCTAGTTGACTTGCTGATTACCTTCTCCTCCGCAGAACTACCTTCAAACCAAAAATTAGACATCTTTGAATACTTTGTTTCCTCCGGTCCGTTATTGTGGTTTCAACTGGTGGCTGTTAAATATCTGCAGACTTTCTTCTGTTCATCATATGCTTTTTCTTGACGTTTATCGGCTGTAAAATCTTGTGGAAAGTTCTGGTTGTTTGCCCGCTTATGGGTTTTAGCCTTATTCCAGACTTGAGTTTCGCATGCACATCCGTTTTGCAGGTCTGGCTTGTTAGTGTGCAGACTGTTGGTTTCTCACATCTCAGGCAGAATCACTCCGACTCTGAAGGAAACACCCCTAATCAGTCGACTTCACAACATTCTAATGTTTGGGAGTTAGAGGCTCTGTTCTTTCGCTCTTCTGCCCCCCCCCCCCCCCCCCCCACCCAATTGGACCCCAGAACCCCCACGGGGAGTCCCATCATAATATCCCAGCTACTCGTACTCTCATAGCCGACAGATGAGCCTCTCTGTTCTATCATGCTCCAGTAAAACTGGGACAGCATATTGGTGTATGATCTTATGAAAAAAAAAGGGTGTCTATGCTCGATACCCACTCTTTCCATTAAAAAATTTTTTTTAATGAAAATAATTATTTTATTCCTTTCTCATTCCTTGTGAAAAGAATTAGAACTCTTTCCTTGTTGCCGAAGATGGAGATGGAACACTTATAAGAATGTCCCGGATTCTCTGATCTAGATTTTTAATTCAGTATTCAACATTGGGAAAAAGAGACTGATTGTCTTGTATTTCTTTCTTATCTCGCATAATTCTTGCTTTGATTTCCAGTTAATTTTGTTTAAACATAGATAAATGTCATCCACTGAACTTTGATATTGTGTTTTACTCGTGTATTTTAGATTTATTAGTCTCATGTGGTTAAATAGTGTACTCTTCTCCATGCAACAGCAGCGACTGCTTTAAAAAACTTTTTTTCTTTTTTTACTTTTCAGTGTCATTTGAGGACAAACGGAAAGAAAATTTTGACAAAGGACAGGCAGAATTAGAAAGGCGAAGAGCAATTCTTAGAGAACAGCAGCAGAAAGAAGAAAATGAGAGGCTGGAGAAAGAGAGGCAGGAAGCTGAAAAACGAGAACGGCAAAGGTATTTAATTAATGTTGATAGTTTCTCTGTGGTTTCATTCATACAGCAGTTTGTTTCTCAGCATCACTGACATTTTTTCTACCTATAATCGAAAGAATTCTTGCTTGCTACATACATCCAGTTTTAACATATGGCTGTGAGTCCTGGACAATCGGTAGGCAGGCCAAACAATTTCTTGAGGCCTCAGAGATGTGGTTTTACAGAAAAAGGCTTAAAATACCATGGACAGCCAAAAAGAGCAACCAGGTTTCGAAAGAGGCGGGAGCCCAAAGACAACTTATCACAGACAACAGGAGACAGTCATCATTTTTTCGGCCATGTTGTGAAAAGAGGAAAAATAGAACATGTTGTGACTACTCACATGTTGTGACTACTGGAAAGATCTGTGGAAGGATGGATAGAGGAAGACAATGACAGAAGATTCTTGACAGTCTATTCTTTGTTCTCCAAAATACAAAAATAGAGGAACCCACACAGGAATACCAGCACATACTAAACACTATAATGTTTTATTAAGAAAAAATGTTACGGCTATTAAAAGAGATTTAATTGTAGGTTATAGTTGTTGTGAGATACCATCTAAAGAGAAAATTAGGAAAGCTATAAGTCTTCTGAAGAAAAGAAAGTTATTAAAGCCAGTATAAACTCATAAGTAGATTTGCTACATAGATTATTATTTAGTAAAGTCTAGGAGACCGAAGAAATACCAGCAGACTGGAGAGAAGGATATCTTGTGAAACTGCCAAAAAAAAAGTTGATCTACAGGAGTGTGAAAATTATAGAGGAATTATGTTCCTTTTATGTTGCTGTCATTTCCTTGAAAAATATTAAATAGGATTATTTTGGAAAGATTAAAAGATTATATTGATAAAAACCTAAGAGATGAACAGGCAGGTTTTTGGCCAAACAGATCCTGTACTGACCAGATAGCCACATTACGTGGCTGCAAAACATTAACAGAGCAAAACATTGAATTAAATTCACTACTTTACATTGGATTCATAGACTATGAAAAGCTTTTGACAGCATTGATAGGGAATCTGTCTGCAGATTGATGGGGCACTATGGAATTCCACAGAAAATGATTTACTTAGTAAAGGCAACATAGAAAGACATGAAATTTTGAGTTCTTAATTGAGGGAAAGCTAACAGATACATTTGAAACAAAAACAGGTGTGCGAAAGGGGTGTCTTTTGTTGCCTGTCCTATTTTTACTAGCAGTAGGCTGGATTATGACGACAGCTACTGCTAACACCATGAATGGAATTCAGTGGACCCCTACAAAACAGCTTGATGATCTGGACTTTGCTTATGATATTTCTCTTCTGTCCCATTCACAGAATCAGATGCAAGATAATTTAAATATACTTGATGCGAGATCAGAACAGCTAAATCTGAAAATTCATAAGGGAAAGACATGTAAGATAATGAGAATAAATCAGGCAAATAGTAATATGGTTTCTCTTAATGGCACCCCACTCCAAGACGTGGAGACACACACCTATTTGGACAGTAATGTAGATAAAGATGGAGGAACTGATAGAGTTATTAAAATAAGAATACAAAAGGCAAGAGGAGCTTTTATAGCACTAAGAAATGTGTGGAGGTCAAAATAAATTAAAACTAAACTTAAAATGTTTAATTCTAATGTCAAATCAGTACTGTTGTATGGGGCGGAAACATGGAGAACAACTAAGGCAATTATTAATAAACTGCTAACATTATTAAGTGGTGCCTGCACAGAATAGATTGAATTGAATGGTTTAATATAACTGGGTTGTATTTTTTTCTTTAGACAAGAAATAGAAAGCAAACGTCAAGCTGAATTGCAGAAACAGTTGGAGAAACAAAAAGAAAGAGAGAGGGAAATCGAAGAGCAAAGAAGGAAAGTGTTAGAACAACGAGAAGTAAGATTTCCTTTGACTGATTGTGTGTGTGTGTGTGCTGGCCTTGATATGTAGTTGACTTTTGATTAAAGTTTTTCTATTAAATATTTGCAATTTTTGAGTCTTATTCTAGAACTATATTGAATGTTTAATTGTCATTTGTAAATTGTTCAAACATTGCTATTAGGGGTAAGACTTTCTTTGTGCAGTCATTTAAATTTGTTTCTTTTATCTAAATAAGTTGATATAAATAAAGGTTATTAATTTAGAATGAAATTACTTACCTTAATTCCATGTATGGGTTCTGTGGCCCAAAATATCGGGGGGGGGGGGGGGGGGGGGTAAGAATAGACCCACTGCCTCCCTACCAAAAATGTTTTAAAAGTCGACTATTGAGTGATTTCATTTGAAGTCGGAGTGCATCTGCCTGTGGCAAGAAACCAACAGTCTGCATATAGTTAAGCCAGATCTGTAAAGCATGTGCACGCAACACTCAAGTTCTGGAACAAAACTTTTAGTCCACAAGTAGACGAACAGCCATAACTTTCTGTCGGAGTTTGGAGCTGTTGAATGTGAAAAAGAAGGAAGACTTAATTAATAAATTATTAGTAAGTTAAAACCTTTAAAATATTATTCAAATATTGTTTAAATATTAGTCATGTATCTTGTTCAGTTTTGTTGTTGTTGTTTTTTTTTTCAGTAATTACGCCGTCTGCAAAAAAAATATTTATTTGTATTTGTGTTTTATAGTAGGCCAGCTGATTTTATATGGTACTCTAATGTCCTGAAAAAAAAAAATATATATATATATCTCTATATATCACAGGCTGCTCGAAGAGAACTAGAAAGGCAGCGACAGATGGAGTGGGAAAAACAGAGAAAAGAGCAGTTATTAGTGGAGAAGGAGAGAGAGGCCGAGCAGATTAGAATGATAAAATCACAAATGACCAACCTCAGAAATGAACTAGAAACTCTGGTAAAGTATTTCCTGCTACATAATTATTTTTGGCCAGGAAAAAATGTATTGTGTTATGGTGCCAGTATATACATCCTCCCCTTTGTTATTGGGGCCACAAGGGAAACTACTGTAATCTACTGTCTTTGTGGTAAGAGGCAGTTAATGCTTTCATTACCAAGAAATGAACAGTTTGTTTATATATTACTCTATATACAGTATCTGTTTGTAAACTTCCTCTGTTCCATTTCTACCATTCAAATAATAATTATTTAAAATCAGGCTCTTCAAATTAATATGTGAAGATATAAAAAGCCACCATTTGTCCCTCCTGCTACACACTGAAGTAAAGGGGTTGTCTCTTAAACTTATTTCAGTAGCCCTGTCCTATAAAATGTCTGCAAAATCCAGTCATTTAGAGACACGTCATTAACCCTTTTGTATGAGAAGCTGCAAAACTGACATTTTCGTTTGGGCCTAGTTCCCAGTAAATATCACTTTTCCTACCTGCCTGTAGTGACCTGTTTATAAGATCCATAGTTAATGCTATTAGATATTTTCATACCCGGGCAAGTGTTTATCAACAGAAAATAGCAATGGGATTTTGGGATTTTCCTTTGAACCAAATAGCTTTTTTAAAGCTCTGTTGGCATCAAATTTTCCCCAAAGACTTATGGATAGAGGTCATGGCACTGGACTAGGTTTTGTAGGACCCAGGGTAAGTATTTCATTTAATGCTTCACCCTGTTCTTGTTAATTGATTACTTCCTCCTGCTGATTACTGCTATGTTTATATATTTTGAAAAAGAAATATTGAAATGAAGATAAAAAAATTTTTTTAATGAATTTCTTAAAGACCTCTGTTTTAAAAATTTTTTTTTTTTACAATGTTTTCAGGAATTTCAATAGGGTCATGACCCCTATGTTTTAGTGTTCCAGGGACAAAAGGGTTGGAGGGCCTGGAATGAGTTTGTTGAGGGCTCACACACAATTGGACAAAAATCAAACTTAAAAGAAGTATTTCCATCAGCTAAGTGAATTGTGTGTCAGCATTTTGAGATTCCAATAACCACAAGGGATCACTTGAGACCAGTAGAATAAAATGACTTGGAAAATATACTGATTGATATTTCAAGCTGACTGGTTCAGAACTTGGTGTTCTTATAGCTGTCAATTTGTCTGTTAAACAAGTTAGTTGCATAGCCTTGACAGAAAGAACTCGGCATTCTAACCCCATCATTTGTGTGTGTGTGTTGTTGTTGTTGTTTTACTGCACAGTTTTACTTCTCTCTGAATTGTTGGTGCTTTTGCATTTGTCAAGATCAGTGCAAAGCTATACGTTGCCTATCACCTAACTTGAATTTCACCTGGTATGTTGAAATTATGAAAGCCTGATTTACAAGTTCACCTGTTTTTTCTCTCCCACAAGTAGAAAGTCATCCAGACCCTCTGTTTACTCCCAGTTGAACCATTCTCTCCAGATGCTGTGTCTTTTCTGTTGCATGTTTACTCGACCATAAAGAGCCTTTACTACCAAGTTAATAGACAGAATATATTGAGATCCATTACAGCCAACCTTCATTGCACAGGTGACACCATATTGCTTGACTATCAGCATATGTAGTGCTTGCCTGTCAAAATAGTTTAGCCTCTAGAGGTGGCAGGATTTGCCTGACCAGTCATTTCATTCAGGTCAGTCTTGACAAACCCATCTTGATGCACATCCACACCCAGCACCTCATCTCCAGCAAGAAAGCATGCTAGTCACTGTGCTTCTCTGGTTTCCACTATGTTGCAAGACTATCCAGTACTTTTTCTGTCTGTAACATTTCTTCCTTTTTTCTCTATCCATATTTTAGTTTTAACTCTGCCCTGTTTTACAATATCCTGTCGTTCTTCAGGAGGCTAGAAAGGCAGAGCTGGCCCTGAAGGTCTCCCATGCCAGGAAAGGAGTCACCGACTTCACTGCCAGCATTGACGCGATGAGAATGACGCGGGACAAGACCTTGGCTGATATTGATGCATTTGAGAGGCAGACTAGGGTGGGTGGTTTGTTTCTGAGGAAGTGTTCTTTAATAATATGTCAGAGTTCCCCCATGTATATTCCAAGCCGGTGGCAAAGCAACTGCAGGAGGGTTAAAGTAAAAACTGTGAGACCTGCTGGTCTTTTTGGTGGCAGTTTATGGGTGTGTCATGGAGTCTTACTCAGTCACTTTAGTAAAGGGGAAAAAGGGAAAAATTCTTAAGACTACCATAGACCAAGAAGAAGAAAACACTGATATCTTTGTTGGAAGAAGCATGGACAGAGCAGATATCGTCAATGCTGCACAGACTGAGCTAGTGGATAATGAGGAATCCCTGAAACTAACATGATTGCGTGACATGGAGTGAAGCAGTGTGAAGCACGTCTATGCCGTCTTTGAAGCAGAGATAGGAGACAATATAACCAGCTTCTCATATGAACAATTAGTAGAAGTACTTTGGAGTGGCTGCTGCATCGGAGGACAGCACGCATGGGAATGCCTAGTATGCAGTGACGTCGATTGTGATAACATAACATCTTACATCATTACACCCCATTTTAGGGGAGGCAAGAATAGACCCACTGCCTCCTATACAAGCATTTCATAAGAGTCTGCTAATTAGGGGTTTCCTTCAAGTTTCCTTTGAAGACAGAGTGCACTTGCCTAAGAGGCAAGGAACCAACTGTCTGCACACTGTAAAACAGATGTGCATGCAAAACTCTAATTCTGAAACAAGACTAAAATCCAGGAGTTTGATGAACAACCAGAACTTTCCCCCAGAGATGACATCCAGTGAATGCAAAGAAGAAAATAGATTGAGGTGTTGTATACTAGAATCACACATACTATAAGTATGCACATACTATAAGTATTTTTTGGATTGGTTACCTTTCTAATTTGGATATTTTTGCTTGGACAGGGGTTTCTTTGGTCTGCTCTTTTGGATTTGCAAATTGCTAAATGATTTTGTTTTTTAAGTGCTAACTGTGTACGCTGTGTGTGGGGTTCCTCGACCTCATTTGGAAAGGGGGGTGGAGGGGGAAATAAATCTACAGCCCCTTAAAAACAAGTTTTTTCTTTTTCGTGTTCACCAGCTGTAAACTCTGGTGGAAAGTCCTGGCTTTTCATCCACCTCCGGACCCTAGTCCTGTTCCAGAACCTGATGCTGAATGCACTTCTGTTTTACGGATCTAACTTATTTGTATGCAGACAGTGGAATCTTCACTCCCAAACAGATGCGCTCTGTCTTTGAAGGAAGCCTCCCCAATTATCTCCTCTTATGACATGCATTTTGGGGAGGCAGTGGGTCTGTTCTTGTTTTCCTCACATCAGAGCCCCTGAGCCTAAATGGGGGAAAAGCATATGTAGAAGGTAACTAATAAAGGGTTTGCTAAAATCCGAAGTATTGGGTCAGAATGTGTAGATATCGTCATCAATGTGCACACCATTTTTTTTAGGTTCAACACAGATAAAGATCTGGGCCTTTTGGCCAAACATCTGATTTCAGCAAACCCTTAATTAATACCTTTAATAAAATGTTTTCTAAAAGGCAGTTGGGTCTTTCTTTTCATCCAAAATGGGGTCTCAGGACTCCACATAGAAAAAAATTTATGTTGTATTGAAAGTCTTCAGTGAAAATTTTTTTTTTTTGTGTTGCTACAGTGTGGTGTGTCTTCATGCATTACAGGTACTGAGTGGAAGAGTTTCAGCGTTGGAGAATGAAAAGAATGAGCTAAGTAATCAGACACAAACGGCACAAACAACACCATTATGTAAGTCTGGTTTTGTTTTGTCGTTACGTTATTGTTTGTATCTGTGTATGTCACAAAAGTGAATCATGGACAAGTTAGCTAGTTAGTGAAAAATCATGATGGGAGCAAAAGAAATATAATTTTATACATGGATGACAAGTTATTTCTTGACTCCATTTGTATTTTATGATTACTTCTCTTCATATAAAAAAGATTACCTGTGTAAAAAAATAATGATTCTCAATGTGAAAAATCTAATGATTGGGTGGGGGGGGGGGGGGGGAGGGGGGGGGGAAGGGGGAGATGCGTGATGACGTAATAGCTTAATTGCTAACAGGCTTGCCTGTCTGTTCCTTTGTCATAGGTTTTAGTCCCTGGATTTTTATAAAAAGTGGCCAAGACTGCAAATTTCTTGTGCTGCTTCTTCTTCTCTTCCTGTAGTTTCTTCTCAGAGAATTATGGGGAAAACAATACATTTTAAAAATAAAATAGAGATGCAATTTTTTTTTTTTGAGATTCCTAGGGATTCTTGCTGGGGCTGTGGAGTTTATGCTGCCTGCAAAGTTCTTGGCAGGAATCTTATCATTCTACAAAGATAGGTTGACCATATGGGATACAATCTAGTGAAGTTCATTCTCTTGACTTTAAAACCTGTAGCAGCAGACTTTAAAACCTGTAGCAGCAGACTTTAAAACCTGTATCAGCAGACTTTAAAACCTGTATCAGCATAGAGAGATTTCATGATTTCTTGTTTCCCAACTTGCAGCTGATGCTCACCGTGCCATTGCTAACAGTGTTGAGTTAAAGAAAGCTTCAATCCAGAAGTTAAAGAAAGAACTGGAAAGGATTGAAACTGATACTGAAGTTAAACTTCGTGAAATCGATGGCAGTAATACAGAGCTAAAGGTCAGCTGATGTTTTGTAATTACACTTATTATTTGTTTTCATTACGGAACCTGCTCTGTTGCTGGTGTATGCCAGGATTTTTTTTTTTTCAGGCTTAAGAATAAAGGCTGCTTGCCCAAACAGTTGCTATATAGTACACAGACCAGGTTATTTCCCCCATATGTACAAGATGCTTGTTTTTGTGTCAGATCTTTTATCTGTCTCTATCAGTGGTCTCCAACCTCTTTCAGGTTGCGCCCTGCTTGAGTATGTGGCAAGACCCCTACACTCTCCTTGAGTGTTTGCAGACCTCCACTCCAATCTTGAGCATATGTCAAAACTAGGGCTGTACCGCAATGGTGATTTTCACTATTTGGCCGAATACGAATAGCGGGAACAACTATTCGGCCAAATACTAATACGAATAGTGTTTTATCATCATCATCAAGTGCCTTGCCGACTGGCGTGGGCGAAAATGCCTCGCCACAATCTGCTCTCATTCAGCATGTATTAGTTTGTGTGCTGACACACCTACATGCCATGCAACAAGACTGTCAAGCATTTTCTCTCGTTGTCTTCTTCTATCCCTCCTTTCACAGATCTTTCCAGTGGTCACCACATGTTTAATTTTCCCTCTTCTCATAACATGGCCGAAAAATGATGATTGTCTCCTTCTGATGTCTGTGATAAGTTGTCTTCAGGCTCCCGCAACTTTCAAAACCTCTTGGTTGCCTTTTTTGGCTGTCCAGGGTATTTTAAGCATTATTCTATAAAACCACATCTCTGGGGCCTCAAGAAATTGTTTGGCCTGCCTACCGATTGTCCAGGACTCACAACGCATTGCCTTTAAATATAAGTGCTTACTTGACGAGGCTAACAGTGACTAATGTACAGACCACATTTTCCACTGTAAAATTTCAGCCAAAATGTAATCACAACCTTTCTTATCCGCTGCACCTTCACGAATACAGATGGAGGATCAGTCGCACCGCATGATAAATACAAAGACACTTTTTAGCATGCTGCGGTTAGCATTTTATGCAGTATGATACACTTTGAGTGTGAAACAAAGAAAAAAAATTCTTTTTGACAGTGGCGAGGAAAGACAATTTAAATTTTAACTTTTAAGTATCTTCATGCCTTCTTTAATAATGTCACAATTTATAGCTGACTTTTCTTGATTTTCGCCGTGGCACCCCTGGCATACGCACCCAGTTTGAGAACCTCAGCTGTAATGCCTCTGTCGAGTCAGCAGGCAAAGACCTTGAAAGCTGCTGTACCGCGCAACCGGGTCGCAGTTCCCCTGCTACGACAGACTTAGGCAACAGCAACTATTGTATTAATGAGAGAGTTATTTCAGTCCATCGCAGTGTATGCAAAATGGGTGTAAGGTAACTACTATTCGTATTCGGCCCGACCGCAAGTATTTGGCCGAATACAGAATAGTTATTAAGTCCACTATTCGGCCCTGAAGCGAATACGAAGCGAATATTCGGTACAACCCTAGTCAAAACCCCATGCTGCGCCCCCATCCCCCAACATAACTTAGTGTGATTAAAAAAAGGAGGATATTAGATTCTGCAATAAGAAAAACAAAAAATTTGGAGATATGTTTTGGTCAGAATGTGTTCTTAATCTATAATTAAATGCATATGTTATCATAAAAGATTTTTAACAGCAGATGTACAGAATGCTTATGAAAACAAAAATGTTCTTGATGTTTTGTTTAATAAAAATTAAACTAAAACAAATTATAAGTATAGCAGATTATTACAGTACAAATGAACTCACTTTCAAAGTTGTTGATACCCCCCTTGAAACCTTCTTGGGCCTCCCTAGGGCTGCACTCCTCCCCCTACCCGAGCTTGGAGACCACTGGTCTATATCATCTTTCATGCGACTGTTGACCACATAAGGCATTCACAAGGTATCTCCACTGTTGCCAGTCTGCTACTTTCTGCCTGTGGCAGTGGTTTTCAAACTTCCTAATGCCATGACCCTTTAATTCATTTCTTCATGTTGTGGTGACCCCCAACCTTAAAATTATTTTCATTGCTACTTCATAACTTCAGTGAATATAGTTTTCCAATGGAGTTAGGCAACCTCTGTGAAAGGGTAATTCAACCCCCAAAAGGTTCATGACCCACAGGTTAAGAAGCCTCTGGCCCTACGGTATCCTATGTCAGTTTGCCTTTCTACTGTCATTCTCTAGTGGTAATGTAATTACTGTTAAACAATGAATATGGAACAGCATTTATCCATCTTTACATGGGAAAAAATCTCAGGCTCCATGCAGTGTGACATTGGTCATCCTAACACTTTGCAGTCAGTTATTTTTGATACAGATATTCCCCCATGCCATGATGTCATATTTTCTCATAGTCTTCTCCTGACTGGTTTCCCTTCCCAGCTTTCCTGGTTTCACGATTTGCTTCAGTTTTCTTTTTTCAAAAAGAATAACCACAATAAATTTCAGGAGGACCTACAAATGGCACTAGCATTTATATGATACTTCACATCCTCTACTTCCATGACATTTTCATGGTAAATATTTTAGGATGGGTCAATTTGTGGGTACAGGTCAGTTTTTAGAAATCCACGTCAATGCAGATTTTTTTTTCTTCTTCTTCTTCTTCACTTCCTCTTTTAACGCTGTACGAAATATAAGGTTCTCAGACTTGCTGTCGACCATAGTAGGCTGTTGTAGTTTCATTGTTCTTCAGTGCAGATTTGAACTAGAAATGTTGCAGTCAAGTAGGCTTGCCTATCCTCCATAACATCAGTGCTAAGTTATTGCACATTCCAACTTTTCTAGAATATTGACGATTGTAATTTTGATTTCAGTCTGACTGTTGCTTTTCAACATGCTTTCTCCTGAGTGCATGATGGCTTGCATCGCTTGATAAGACTGAGATTAGGAGCATATCTTGTATTTTCTTGGCTGCTGCTGCTGCTGCTCTGGGTGGTGAGCTACTACTTTATGATAAGGCAGACATAGTCAAGGTGATCAGGTGGACATTGCAACAAAACAAGAGTTTTCATACCCTGAAAGAGTAACTTAGCAGGGAGATGAGCAGAGGTTCTGAACAGTATTCAGCACTGAGGGGAAAACATAGACAGACTTTTAATCAGGTTGCAACTGGCACCATTAGCATGGAGGCTCTTCATTGGGCACAGAGAAAAGAGACTGACGCATATGGGAATGTCCAAAGTGCAGTAAAGTTAGTTTCTTGAATAATTGATTCATTCATACATGTTAAAGCCATTTGTACAGACTGCTAAATACATGCGGATACTACAATATAGGTGTGCATGGATAGAACTATACATACACTGTTATATTATGAGATGATATATCCATTCATCACTGTCTTTCAAGAGAAAACACTTGTACCCCTTTTTTATTAATATACCTTGCCTGACTGTTATTATCGTTAACAGAAAAGGCCTATACTGAAAACTGTTACAATTGTTAATTTCTCTGATTTAGAATCTGAAAGAACAGCTGACTAAACTAGAGAGAGACCTGCCGCATTTACACAAGCAACAAGAAGAGACAATACAACCCCAGAGAAAAGCTACCGAAGTCAATCAGCAGAGTCGGAAGAAAGAATTTGCAAGGTCAGTTAAACACAATTCAGTAGTCGCATGTATTTCTCTGTAATCATTCCTGTAGATATGGTGTAAGTGCTGTCCATCATGCTCATGGAGAAACTATGGTCAAATGCTAGTTCACGTGATCAAATATTTGGCTTTACAGATCCAATGTTCACCTGGTCACTTGTTTTCTAATTATATCTTCCTCTGAGATCGATTCCGAAAGTGCTATTTGAGATTGTTTTGAAAAGGAAAAGTGCAGGCAAATATCTGGTTAATACAGTATAATGTAGTGACCTAATATGTGTAAAGTCGGAGCCCTTGACTACTCTGTGGTGTTATCTGTTATAATATTATCTGTCACTTTTTTTTTAAAGGTGGCAGGGCATAAAGCCAGTAGCATCAGTAAAAATATATGTTCAAAAAAGTTGTACGTTCACCTAGCTGACTTCATTTTATTACAATGTAACTTTTCAAAATTAAGATAAGAAAGGTTCCAGCATCACTACAGATAGTGCCCCATAACTGCCGTGGGCCAATGGAATCACACAAAATGTCCTTTACTCTCCCGTTTTAAAACTAGTAAAAAACGTTTCAGTCCCAGCAAAATCATGAAGCTTGCACCCAGAAAGTAAAAATGCATATGGCAGCTAACAGATGTGCCAACACTAATGGTCCCACCAGTCATGAAAGCCGGCATTGCAGACGCAAAAGTACACCTCATTCTGAACATTCTGAGTAGTGTATTGTTTGTTTTAGTATCCATAAGCCATGAGTTGTTAACCCTTAGGCTCGGTATTATGGAGATATCGCAACCTTTTGGCCTTGATTCCATTGTAAATACCGTAAATCTGGGAGAAATGTGGCTTTTCTGTCTACCCGGACCACAAGGATTTCGTCACCCGGTCTCCTCGCAATCTGGTTTAGCCAACTAGGCTAAAGAGCCAGGCTGAGTAGTGTATAAAATATGAGACTAATACCAAATACCCTTATATGATTGTGTCCTTTACCAAATACCCTTATATGATTATGTCCTTTACCAAATACCCTTATATACCTCAAGGTGATGAAAAGGGTCCTTTATACTTTTTTTCTTTCTTCTTCACGCAATCCACTATGATAAAATACAGAAGAAGAGAAACCACAAGTCAAATTGTTAACAAATTATAGCTGTTAAACAGCTTGGTACTTAATAAGGAAATCATAAATACATTATACTTGCTGTAGGAAAGAAATGTTAACCTCTGTTTTTTGGTTAATTAAGTGTGGACGTTTATTAAGAGAGGAGGAATATCTTTCACCTCTGACTTTTATGAAAACAGCATTTTGACGTAATATTTGTAATTTTCTTTCTTTTTCAGTGCTCCACCACCAGTCCCTTCATCTAATTCAGCCAGCAATGGTGAGCAGCATACAGTGTTATTGTTGTTGTTTTCCTCCTCATGCCAAGATTGTTCCGGGCTAGCGCTCTTTGGATATTTGTCTGGGGATACAGGAGTGTTGGGAATGAATAGTCAGACAGATTGGCTGGTTCTGCACCGATGGGTGGTGAATTTATGTATGACAGGCTAGATTGGTCAAGGTCCTTGTGAGCAACCGAGGCACAAATATATCTCTGGAGAGAATTGTACAGCTAGAAGTGACTTTGGGGTCTGGTCAACACTCTTTTAGAAAAGGCAAAACACATATAATCAAACTGCTACTGGCACCGTCGAAACTGGAACTCTTCTTCAGCTCCTGATGATGAGAACGGAGCACTTATGGGAATGTCCCGAGTGCTGTGATATCAGTACTTAGCTCAGCACTCAACATTACATTAGTGCCTCTGGGCATTCAGTTAGAATCTATGCAGGAGGAATTAACCAGAAACCCATGAAGAAAGTATGTGCAACCTAGGCATAATCTCCCCCTAGTATGAATGTAATGTAATGAGCTGAACTGTGACCTGGCTCCCTCTTGACACATGTGAAGTTTCAGTACTGGACCTGCATATCCTATAAGTGGTTTTCACATCAAATCAACTTGCTAACTTTACTTGCCAGTGGCTTTGGTTTTAGTGGTGAGCTGTTTTGGTTTTACTAGGTACTTTTACGTTCAGTAGCTTGCCATTATTAGACCACGGGGCAGGTCAAGAAGATAGTTGACAGATCATATTTAGGCAGACCTACACACACTTTGAATCAGCAAATGGAAAGAGAAGGTCAGTCACAGAGATGAATAGAGGCAGGCGATATCTACAGCACGAAACCTCGAGGTTTGGAAGGCCAAAGAAAAAGTCGTAGTAGTTTGCCATTGCTCTCAACACCCATACTATTTATTGTCATAATCAGCTCAAAATAGTTTGCTGCATTGAGCTGACTTTGAACCCAACATTTTCCCTGTCTGGGTTCCGTTGATCTTTGGGGGTGGGGGGGGGGGGGCAACCCACTGCCCCCTTAACAAGCATTTTATTAAAGTAAACTAATTAGGGTTATTTCCTTTGAAGTCGGAGTGCATCTGAAGACGAGGAATGAACAGTTTGCATACAGATAAGCCAAATCTGTATGACAGATGTGATTGCAAAACTCAGGTTTATGGAACTAAAGTCCAGAAGTTAATGAACAAACAGAAGTTCACAGCTGGGGAATGTAAAGAAGAAGAACCCCTCATTTTAGATTAAGAAGCTGCATTCTCAATCCTAAAGCCACAAATGACAACATGAAACTAAAGAGGAAGTCACAAAAATAAGACAAGAAGAGTGTCATGATGTTAAGATTAAAGTCAAGTGGATTGACTACATTGTACCGGGTTTTATCCAAAATGGCTCGGTCTGTCTCCGCAGAACAGCTAGTCAGTCGCAAGCTAAGAGTGCCACACAGAGCATGAACTCCATAGCTCAGGCGACGATCCCCAGTGATCTCCATAAAAATTGCACCCGTGAACTAAATGGTGCAGCCATGAAACGAACCCATGACCTTCAGAGCACTAGGCAAACGGCGTGACCACTTCGCCACGGAGACCCTCTGTGTGTCATGACGTCTAGCAGTGAAAATATTAACCCCCCCCCCCCCCCCCCCCCCCCCCCCCCCCCCAATGCCATAGTATAAAAACATGTTTATTGATCTGTCTGTTTTCAGGTCAGCCAAACTGGTTTGATTTCAACAATTCCGATGCATTTAACTCCAGCACAGGTGGAGTAACGAACTCGACTGTTAGCTGGGACACTGCATTTTCTGAAACTTCTGCTGCCGCTGTTACCAACAACGGTACTTTTGCTGCTTGGGGAGCAGGGGGAACAACCACCGGAGGTAATCAGCAGCGGCATTATACTTGCTTTTTAATATTAGTACCTTAGATTTTATGTAGGGAGCTGATGTAGCTCAGTGGCTAGTACTCTTGCCTGACATCTTGGTGGAAATAGGTTCAAATTCCTGTTGTCTCAGTAAAGGTTCTGTGGCACTGTTTTGGGGAAGTAGGGGTTAGGGAGTTTTGAAGGTGGGGGGAGCTTTAAAAAGCCTGTCATAAAATGCAACTAATTAAATGTTTGCTGAAGTCAGATGTGTTAGGCCTAAAGGTACAGTTATCATAGCTTGGCTGCAAGCCGCAACAGAATTACCTTTTAAAAGGCAAACACAACATTCCAATTGGAACATATTTTTCAAAAATTGTCTTGACTCCTAGATGATCAGCCTAAATTTTGTACCACAGGAGGTCCTGGGAAGTGAAACCGGCGAGCACGATATTGACTACTTCACTCGCTGAGTGCTGTTTGCATTATTTGACTTTTTAAAAAAAAAGGGGGTAGCAGCATATACTAGTCTACTGTTCACATCCAGGTTTTTGTATCCAGGTTGCTGTTGTTGTTTTTTAGGTTTTATATGGACCTTGACCCCCAGGTTGACCGACCTTAAAATGGGTGCCAGGTAATGCCCAGGCCTGCAAATGTGGCAGGTATGATGTTGACAACATCACCCAACAAGTTCTCATCGGTCTGTAAATAAAATATAAAGGCCAAGCACTCATTTGCCCAGTGTGCCAAAGGTGTCAAAAGGGTCTTTTATTTTACTTTACTATCATTGGAACTCTGAGATAGCTGCTGAGGATGGGGAGGGAGCACATATGGGAAGGCCCTGAGTGCTGTGATGTCAATTCTCAACTCAACTCTACTATCATATGCTAGAATCACTCCAAGGTGTGCACTTGGGACCTTTAGTTTTTGTATAAGGTGGTTGAATATATTTCATAGTTTCAGATCTCTTTAGTTAGAATGTTTACGGTGTATGTAGTGTAGTTATTGTTCACATTTATATAAAACTTCACTGAGGCCTTAAATCACTTGTGTTGTGCCAGTCTTAAAAAAAAAAAAAAAAAACTTGCATGACAAAGATACATACACACAGACAGGTGGGCACACACACACACACTTTTGCATGCCTGCCTTATAAAGATTTTTCTTGGGCTACTCTACTCTCTATCCAAGCATTTGACCTTTTGTTTATTTCTTTAGTGTTGTTTCCTGTCTCAAATTGTGACAAAACCAAGACAGCCTTTATTTTTGTTTTACTTTAATGTCTTTCTTTTTCTGTTTTACTTGTGTTTTCATTTTACATTAATGTCTTCTTTTTCAGTTTCATTGTGTTCTCATTTTACGTTAATGTCTTCTTTTTTTTTTTTTTTTTACTTGTGTTTTCATTTTACCTTAATATCTCTATTTTTTATGTTTTACTTATGTTTTCATTTTACCTTAATGTCTTATTTTTCAATTTTTTTTTTAAATTAGGGCTAGCAAAATACTTGTAATAAAGTTTGCTAGTTTAATATAGTTTAATTCCACATCTGTGATTTCCTTAGGTTTGCCTCCTTTACCAGTGTCTGATTCATTTACCAGTGTCTACTTCATTTCAAAAGTTTGTTTTGTAACCATCCTCAGGAGCTCAGAACAAGCAAAAGTATCGAGCCTTGTATGATTTTCCAGCGGGTAGAGAAGACGAATTAACTCTGGTTGCTGGCATGGAGGTCTGGGTGAGTCTGACTGCCCTTAAAAATATCATGGCCTAGCTGTTAACCACAACACAACGTGCCAAACATCCATTTAAGGGGAAAAAGCAGAAGTAAAATATCTGTTTGATTTCTATACACACTGCTACTGTTTGCCTGACAATAGGTTAGACATGGTAATATGATAATATGTCCGTTTTGGCTTTCCTATGAGTGTAGACCGCCGATCAGATCCCCTGGTCAGTCCAAGTCCCACCATTCTCTCCACACGGTAATGATCTGTTTCTACTTCTGCATTGATCACTTGCTCCCAGATTGCCTAGACCAGTGTTTCCCAAACTTTTCTCAGTCGCTGCACCTTTTTTCAATTAAAATTTGTCCACGGCGCCCTAACCTAAGTAAAAGTACGACTATGTAAGAGGTCAAAACAAATAAAACTTGTGTATCTTTGAATATTTCGCGGCGCCCCTGTGAAGAGGTTGTGGCTTCCCAGGGCGCACAGTTTGGGAATCACTGGCCTAGACCATTTAGTAATTGATTTGATATTTTTCCTTATCTCATTACAGTTTAAAGGCCGCAATGATGTAATGGCTAGACGCTTGCCTGCAGATCCGATGGTGTAATGGCTAGATGCTTGCCTGCAGATCGGATGGTGTAATGGCTAGATGCTTGCCTGCAGATCCGATGGTGTAATGGCTAGACGCTTGCCTGCAGATCGGATGGTGTAATGGCTAAACGCTTGCCTGCAGATCAGAAGGTGTAATGGCTAGACGCTTGCCTGCAGATCGGAAGGTGTAATGGCTAGACGCTTGCCTGCAGATCGGAAGGTGTAATGGCTAGACGCTTGCCTGCAGATCGGATGGTGTAATGGCTAGACGCTTGCCTGCAGATCGGAAGGTGTAATGGCTAGACGCTTGCCTGCAGATCGGATGGTGTAATGGCTAGACGCTTGCCTGCAGATCGAATGGTGTAATGGCTAGACGCTTGCCTGCAGATCGGATGGTGTAATGGCTAGACGCTTGCCTGCAGATCGGATGGTGTAATGGCTAGACGCTTGCCTGCAGATCGGGACGACATGTGGTTCAGGTCCTGCAGAGCTGGTCTTTTTTTCTTCTTCAAAAAAATGACCTTGGCTCCCAGGTTGATCCAGCTTAAATGGGTACCAGGAAGAGTTCTGGGAATCAAAGGGGGCTGGCATGATGTTGACCTCATCACCCATTGAGTACCGATTGTCTTTTTAAAGAAAAAATAGGTCTAGCCCTATACGCCCAATTGGCCTGAAGGCATGGAAAAGGGTACTTTACTTACATTACAGCTTATTCTTTTATTGCTGTTTGTCCGAACTTCATTTGTGATCATGATCTGTTATGTCAATCTCAAAGGTACTGACAGATTTTACTCCCATACCTGGGATGGAGGACTGGTATAAAGGGGAGCATGATGGGAAACTGGGCTGGTTTCCTAAAAGCTACGTGGAGCGACTAGATGAGCCCTCCACAGATTTGTTTGGGTATGCTCTTGAATATTTTTTTTTTCTCAAGAAGTTTAAAATTAAGTGTGAATTTGGTAACTGACTGGAATAAGATTGAATTTGGTTATTTGCAATGAGCTCACTTATTGTCTAGTGGGTGTTTATTATGTGTTTCGTGAATGTTCTCATCACACACTCTACATTAACATAACTGGTACAAGCCGACACCGACTTAGCCGTACGAAACATCAGTTTATTGACATATTGCAACTTACGACAGTGTCCAGTCTCTGTCCTAAGAAACAGCTTTCGCACACCACATCACGCAGACTTCAACAAGCAGGTTTCTCATGCAGTCGCTGACCAGAGTCTGCACCTATGTAGCTGGTTGATCTTCTGGACATTACACAGACTCCTGGCTTCACACGTAGTCGTCTGGTTCTCCTTTCACATCAAGCAATCTCACGTTGACATTCGTACGCTCAGTCTCCCGTCCTTTCGCTCTAACAAGTCGACACAAACTAACTTGAGCAGAATCAAGTCTCAGCTTATACCATGGGTTTGTTTCATGTGGCAACACGTGGTGGTCCTTTACTTCCACATGGCGACCTGTGGTCGCATCAACGTGTTTCACGTGATAACTCGTGGTCATCACCTATATTGAAAACCTCGTATAATCCGAGTTTCTGGAATATCTCAGTGTTTTGGGTTATCCTTGGGCCTACCCCCCAACTTTTCTAATGTGGGTGAAAATATCCCCCATTACAATCTCCCACCCCCGTTTTAAAAACAGTTTACTTTTTTTTTCTCATTATCGTTAATGGGTTGGAGTATATTTATGTAATGCTTGGGTATTTTCACTGGTATCAGAGGTAAAATTATCCCACTCCTTTTGGGTAATTCATGTTTTTCCTTTGGAACTTGTCAGTTGTCATGCCCAGTGAGTATTATGTGGCGTAATGGAATCAACACCCCAGGCAATACTCTCTCAATTGCGGAAGACCATAAAGGCTCTACCCATTCCCCACCTCATCCCACAGTCTGTCAAATAACAGAAAATCACTCCAGGCACTACTCTTTTAAGTGCGGAAATCATTAACGGCTATGGAACAATAATGTAAACCCGTAAAGTCCCACCCTTGCCACTATACTCACTGAACATCCACTGATGTTGTTTCCATTGGATATTCATTTTTCCCCTTATAGATGCTATGGACTTTATTTCCCTTACCTATCGTGATTTCCCACCAGTCTGTATTACATTCCCAATACTTATCTCCCTTTTACATCCCAAAATATTACAAAGTATTTCCTGGCATATTAATCACTTAAATTCCCCGTTTACACTTTCAATTGTTGAATAACATCATTACATTTTCAAAACATGAAATAATTGCTTATTTCATCATCTATAATCATAAATTTGTATATTCAATTCTAAAATATTTTATTTCGTCACCTATGTCCTTGTCCAGTTTTCGTCACACTGATATGATGTACACAATTTGTACTATATACAATCTACATATTATACATACAATATTCATACAAATAATATATGTGTCTATCAACATTTACAAACCAATTACTCAAACTTACATGCTAAAACAGAGTTATCATTTTATAATCTCTACATTACATCAGGCAAATGATTGTTGATGCCTTTGATGTGTTGTATTTTAAATTTAAACTGCAATAAGTAGAGCCCATTTGTATACTCTAGTGTTGTTTGTTGCCTCCATTGTCATCAATTTAGTAAGTCCTAAGTTATCAGTCAAGATTGTGAATTCTTTACCTAACAAATATTTTTGAAATTTCTTCAGACTCAAAACTAATGATAATGCTTCTTTCTCAAATGTGCTGTACTTTTGCTGTGTGGATGTTAATTTCTGTGACCAATATAAAACTGGAAGGAAAGTGTCTGCGTCTTTCTGGGCTAACATTGCAGCTATGGTGTGACCACTAGCATCTGTCTGTAAATAAAAGTGTTTACTTGGATCAGGCTGACTGAGGATTGGTGGTGTTGAAAACAAATATTTGATTTTTGCTAAAATTTTTGTCATTCCTCCACTTTCATCCCAAATCCCTCTTTCCCATAAATTGTATCTGTTTTTCTCATTATCTTTGTCAGGATTCAGACAATGGTGCAGAGTATATTTAATTTATCTTGTATCTGATTCCGTGGATGGGACAGAAGGGCAATATCTACTTCTTGGTGTTAGCAGTTTGAAATAAAGGCGACAAAAGACATCCCTGTCGCACACCTGTTTTTATTTTCAAATGCATCTGTTTAGCTCCCTCAAGAAGAACTCGACATAATAATTTATTAAACCTAATAATGATTGCAATTGCTTTTTTTGTCTTAGGTTTTTTAATACCCAAGATCTTTGATACAATATTCTGATCAGTTTGGATTTTTCCTTCGCAAACAATGTGACCTAAAAACTGTATTTTCGTAAAACAAATCTCAGACTTCAGTGGGTTTACTGTCAGGTTTGCCTCCCGAATTTTAAAAAACACTTTTTCCAGTGTTGCCAGGTGTTTTGGTATTTCTTTCGTGTGGATGCAGATGTCATCCATGTAGGCAATTGTGTCTTCCATCCCCCCCAGAAACTTTCAAATCATTTTGGTGAAGATTTTTGGGGCATTCAACAGGCCAAAAGGTACCCTCAACCACTGTTTTAACCCCAAGGGTGTTTGGACCCAGCAGACTTCTGTGTAAACTGTTGCAATATGTCCTTAATAAAAAGCCTGATGTTTCTATTACTTATCACCAGGAAATGGTCAGTTAATACATCGGCACCTCTGAAAGCCCTAACATCGTAAAGGGATGATCTAAACTTTTTGTACGGCTAAGTCAGTGTCAGCTTGTACCAATTATGTTAACATAGAGTGTGTAATGAGAACATTCACAACACACATAATTAACACCCACTAGACATTGAGTGAGCTCATTGCAATTGGAGGCTCTAAAACAGAGGTAACCGGGCATAAACAGGACAGCAACAGCGAGAGGATATCATAAACTGTCAACTTGCCATGCAGATGCTGAATGCCGTTAGAAGTCTAAAGCATAAAATACCATTGCTGAAGACGGATATGTAAGAGATGAAGTCAGCTGAGAGAACACAGTTGTTGAAATCATCTAGAAATTACATCAGTTGCACCGTCACAGCCGAGTGTTTGAGAGTTTAGGCAACAGAGCAGCAGAAAGGCAATCCCAGAAACTGTCACGTGCATGTAGATGCAGATTCCATTGAAAGTCGAAAGCATATAACACAGTGCGAAAGACAGACATGTAAGAGGCGATATCTTGTGAAACGCATAGTTACTGGAATCACCGAACAGTTGCGACAAAAAATTCAACCAGTAACACGCCTGAGGATTGGTCATTGCTTCACGTGTGTGAAAGGTTAAAGGACACGTAAACTGCCCAGGGTTACGTGGCACTTTGCGCCGTTCTTCAAAAATAATCGACAAGAAGCCTACGATCAAGAGAACAGGTGGCGGTACAACAGATTGGGAGAATAAATTGTCCACTGTCTGTAACAGTGCCGAGTGCGCATAAAATTACCCACTAAATCGCAGATATTTGAGCGCGCCAGCTAAATTAATCAAACCAGCTCAAGTGGTGAATAAACTGAGTTGACGCCTGACACAGCACATGTGAGGACATACTCCCGAACGAGCTCCCATCTGGGATAAGAATTAATCACATTTGCAAAAATAAGTGTTGCAATACTAAGATGATCAACTTCTTTACTTTGGTGTTTATCTCTTGTGGCTGGGTCACTTGTTGAGAGTGTCACATAAAATACAAACTCTGTATCTGCAGTGACGATCTCCTCGTTTCTTTGTAAAATGAGCACCTGTATAGAATGTAATTACAATTACGATAATCACCATCAAAGGGCAAATCTGTCTCTACAGTATAGGACTAGCACCATATGCCCAGTCCTTCTGCATTTGCCTTAAAAGGGTGGCGGATATGCTGTGTTATGGTTTTTCAGCTAGGCTGTGGTATCTGTGACTTTCTACCAAACAAATCTGATTTTAACAGATCCCTAGTTTGTCACCATTTAGAGTATGCTTGTTAAGTCTTTTCTTATTCCTCCTGAAAAAAAACGGGGCACCAGAACCTACACGGGGAATATGTCCAGTGAGATTTCAAACATGAAAATTGTTTTTTTACATGTTTTATAATATACACACATATATTTAAAATGAAATAAAAATATTTCAGGGGGGCTTTTGAATCCTTAGCACAGTCTTCTAATGTACAGACATCTGAAACAGCTAGGACGGATATTTTTACTACTCCACTTAGCCAGGTATGTTTTGAAGTGTTTGTTTGTGAATTTCATCATCATCATCATGTTGTACCATTTTATGCCAAATAGTGGTCCCAGTTTATTCCTCTCTTCCGTTCTGTCCTGTGCAATGAATTTAACATCTTTGGCCTGCCTCATCCATGTTTATTTTATTTTTATTTTCAAATTTTTTTTTTAAATTGAGTGTACTTGCTTTCTTAATCCCCTAATTTCCCATTTTAGTGCCTGTTTGACGAATTTTCACTAAATTCTTCTCAGGATGTGTCCAGTATAGCACCATCTTTTTTGTCTTATTACTGTTGATACCAGTGGTTGCCAAGACATTGCTCTTATTTCTTCACCCCTCTTGATTGAATTCATTCCATTTCAAGTTCAAGATTTTCCTCAGGCATTTGTTTTCCAGTGCTTTTAATTGTCTGTCCATATTGTTGTTATTGTTATCGATCCAGCGGCACATGAGCTTTGGCCCAATGCCATGTAGTGGAATTTTCATGTTTTCACAAGCTGTTCTTTTCCTCCGTACAAGGTGGTCTCGGAGGGAGTAGCATTCTTCTAGTCTCGCTGATTTAGGGGCACTCAAAGAGATGGTGTTCAAAAGTTTCGTAAGGGTGGTTACATAGCTGGCACTCTGGGGAGTGTTGTGGCTGTATTCTATTCAGATGTTCATCGAGTGGAGTATGTTGTGTTCTGAGTTTGAAGATGGTGGCCTGGTCCCTTCTTGTTAGATGGGTCTGTACCTGTTTGTGTGAGTTTCATTTTTAGTACCAGTATGTTATGCACTCAAGTTCATTCTACATCAGACTCAGTTCTCAAAGGGCACGACTCCACTTCCTGTAATTTCAATAAGGTCACTAGAGTTTTCATTAGTCAACACATAGCTGGCATGATCATTTGTTATACACAATATACACATTGGGAAACATTTACCTTGATGTCTTCTTTTTCTGTTTTACTTGTGTTCTCATTTTACCTTAGTGTCTTCTTTTTTCTGTTTGATTTGTGTTTTCATTTTACCTAAATGTCTTCTGTTTTACTTGTGTTTTCATTTTGCCTTAATGTAACATTGGGTCTAGCCTGTTGCTTTAGTGGCAGAAGAAAGACCCTTACATTCGTATTTCTGCTTTTTTCTTTAAATTGTAAACATAACAATTTTGCCTTCAAGTATAACAGACACATGTTTGGATAATTATTATTCACAATGCAGCATAACAGACAGCATCCATATGAGTAGAGAATAATTCACCAGGGAGTGAGAAGAGGGTCTGAACAATGAGAAGTCTTCTTCAGTTTGCATCCGGCACCATCAGTTTGGGAATTCTCTGTTAGCTTCTAAGGAAGGGGTCAAAGCATATATGGAAATGTCCTGAGGGCAGTAGTGTCACTTCTTGATTCATTCATTCATTCATTCATTCATTCATTCATTCATTCATTCATTCATTCATTCATTCATTCATTCATTCATTCATTCATTCATTCATTCATTCATACATTCCCACACTTGCAGCCAAGTACAGTATCAAGTGCTCCCACAGCCAGTTCTACAGAAGCATCTGTGCCTAGTGATATACCTCCTGAAGGATTACTAGCTAAAGCCATTTACCCCTGGAAGGCGAGACAGGAAACTGACTTGACCTTTGATAAAGATGACATCATTCTAGTCAAAGAACAAGATGATATGAAATGGTTTGGAGAACTGAATGGGAAGGTATGTGTAAAAGTATGAGTTTTATGAAAACTTGTCTTTTAATTTGTTGCACACCTTATTCCCCCCCCCCCCCCTTGTTTTAAGATAGACTCACCCCTGTGGGTTCTGGGCTCCATTTGTAAGGGGGAAAAGAATAGAACCAGTGCCCTTAGCAAGCATTTCATAAAATGCAACTTATGAAAGGTTTGTTGAAATCTGATGTGTCTGGCTGAAAGCTGCAGATACCACAGCCTAGCTGTAAAAACAAAAGTACCAACCACCCTTTTAAGGGTTTTAAGGGTGAACGCAAAAGAAAAAGAACAGCCACGTATGATCCATCGGCGGCCAAGTTGCCCATTGGCTGGCCAGTAGATGACTTTGCCGCAGGTCAGGACAGTATTTGGGTCTGTCTCTCTTGATCGCATCAACACACTGCAGTAGTCCTTTTCAGGGCAACGTGGTGGCATGCAGTGCTAAGCCATTTTATATGGTGCGCATAAACCTAGTCACAATTATAACTGAAAGCTCCTCCCTTGGGGGGATGTTGGTTGAACGTGGACATTTTTTTCTTCACAAAGCAAGTCAAGTCAACATTAGATCAGCCCTCTGTCCCTAACCAGCTCACATCATCATCAGTCATCAGTTCTCGTTATGCCTAGTGGCACATGAGGCTTCAGAGAGGACTTTCCATGCTTTCCTGTCCTGTGCAGTTTTCCATGTCAAAGATGCCGCACTAAGGTCACTTTCCATCGTTCGTCTCCATGTTGTTTTTGGGCGCCCCTGTTTTCTCTTTCCCTCTGGTGTCCATGTGAGAGCTGTTTTGGCAGGTATATCAGAAGTCATTCTCATAACGTGGCCAAGCCATTTCCATCTTCTCTTGGTAATCATACTGTCTAAAGTTTCTTGGTTTGTGGCTTGAAGTAGTTTAGTGTTTGATATTGTATCTGGCCAGAAAATGTTGATAATTCTACGTAGACATGTATGGTGGAAGGTGGACAGCTTGTGTACATCCTTTTTGGTCACATCAAGCTTGTCTTATCCTCAGCCATCTTGTACAACTCATCCAGTGTCTTCCCCTTCTTATATTCCAGTGTCTGTATTTCATGTCTATGTTTCTATTGGTGCTGTCATTACTGCATGATACCAGAAAAAAATAGCAAGGGCTGACCCACACCAAGAGGGGCACATGATATAAGTGACTTCTTGGATATGAAATGGCACGAGATGGGAGCTGGTGAGAGGACTAGTTTCTTTCAGTCAGACCATGAAAAAAGCTATTTCTGTAAAGGACCTGTTACATGATGATGATGATATGATTATTGCTTGTATTTACCACTTTATAAGGAAATATATGAGGAAATGATATTTAATAGACCAAGAGGAAAAGGAATACTGACATCCTAAAAGATCTGAACATCAAGAAAGATTTGCTGGTAAATTGCATCTTATCTTTAAAAGTGAAATATTTTGGCCGTAACAAGCATCACAGCAGATTGGAAAGAATAGTAGCAATAGACATGGTGCCAGAAAGGAGAGGCAGGGTCTGACAAGCATGAAGATGGGCACAGGATGTAAGTGAAACTTTTAGCAGAAAAGTGTGCGGGGAAGATCTGGCAAGAGACTGTTTCTTTTAGGCAGGCTGGGATGAGAGCGATGTTCTGCAAAGGACTTGCTACATGATGATGATGAGGGTTGTATATTAGTACATGAACAATTAAGCCAACTTTATTTACACTTGTCCACAACCTGGAGGTGACAGCCATCAAATCTAGCCACTTCAGGGACAGTCTCTTGAAAATCTCTTTATTTTCATTTTGGGCACTTTAACACCTAGAGGACTGACCTGCCAACACAGCTTTCTCTAAAATGCTAGGGGATTGAACTGCCCACACAGTTTTATCTAAAACCCTCCAGTTACGCCTCCTGGAATTTCCTGAGGTATTTATTCTCCAGTCCTACGTGCCTTGCCAGTCTACTGACAAGACATCATTCTGGCCGCTTGGAGATAATAAGCTAAGTGATTTTGTTTAATTATGTGGTTGTGTTTTTTATTTGTGTGTGGTGATGAGGGTTCTATAGCCACAACGTTCACATTTTGTTTTGTGTTTGTTATATTGTAAAGCTTGCTGATATACTTTTCTTTCGGTTTTATATTTTTTCTTGATATTTTTACACATTATAGCATCACAGATATCCTAAGCACCACAAATTTGTAAAGAAATTATAATAGGTTGGACATCTTGTGGGGAGGGGGGGGGGAATCTCTTATGCACTAGCCTTCATCTGTGCCGTGGAGAATTGTTTCTGCAGGGAATATTGTGAAGCTGTTTACTCAATAATTATAGTTTTGAGCCTACATTTTTTTGAAGTCTTGATGTATCAGCCTATCATTTCAGAGTGGATGGTTTCCGAAAGCTTATGTCAAGTTAACTGGAGCTGCACCCAAGCCAGGGTATGTTGTTTGTTTGTCTCAAATTAATTCTTTTAATTGTTGTGGTAGCATTTTGGGGCAAGGACAAAATAAATAACTTTATTTTGTGCACATTCACTTGTATATTTTCTTCTTCTGCATTTCCTCTTATGGGTTTATGGTTTACATCTAGGCTGTGATGTCTTCTCCTCTTGGCCCAGCACATCCGATTTCTACAAATTCTCACTTGTCTTTTACTTCTTCTTCATGTTCATCAGCTGTAAACTGCCAGAAAGTTCTGGTTGTTCAGCCACTTCTGAACTTAAGTCTTGTTTCAGAACCTGAGTTTTGCGTGCACATCCATTTTACATATTAGCTTTCTGACTTCAAAGAAAACATCCATAATTAGTTGTCTCTTGTGACAATTAGAGGCATGGATCGATTATTTTTTTCCCCCAGTGAGGCCCTAGTACCCACACTGGGAAGTTGTCTTTCACGTCATGCTTGTTGAAGGGGTGGTGGGTGTATTCTGTTTTTTCCATTTGAAATGGGTGCCAGGAGCCTACACGGAGAGTTGTATATTAACCTTATAAAACAATGTTTTTTATGTGCAATGTTGTTGATAGATGAGCAACTGCTGTCAGGTTATAATTTAAAACATCCAGTTTGATGCAGATTTGAACCTTTTGCTTTTTGCGATTAATTGCATGTGCAACTACTGATCTTTTGTAACTTCCATCAGAAATGCATTTCTAGCATCTGACTGTTTGTGTTGGCATTTCTGATGGCTGCCTTATGCGTTTAATATGTGTATATACTTTTAGCTTCGCTGAGACTGCAGTCTATGTCAGTTTTTCCACAAGGGACAGTGGTGGATATTCTGTGTTTTTTTCTTGGCATAGTTAGTTGGTCGGAGTTTTAACATCACCGCAATCGGGGTTTCCCCATACTTGCTCCGTTCCTATGCCAGCGGGAATCAAATTAATGTCCCTCGATGTTGCATATAAAAAAAACTAGTGAATAAACAACTAGTTCCAGAGCAATCCAGAAATATGTGAAGGCCGTAAATGCGTATTTCAGCTGCTGGAGGTGACACAGCCAACAGTCGCCACCAGAAATGCAGTTTGTCGTTGATAGAAGTAGTCGGGCACGAAAAGTTGGTCACTGTACACATGGAGAATTCTTACATAAGTTATAGGCATAGAAACGGATCAACTCACCCCATTTGCTTTGATTGAGGAACTACAATTACCTCATTACAGAAGAAATCTGGGGGAAAATGTTTACTAAATTGTAATTTCTTGAGCATCTGTTGTTGTTATATGATTTACTTTACCTTGAAAACCACAGACCTGCAGTAAACAAGAATGTGGTGAGCCCGGGGAGAACAACAGAAACAATCACAGCCCCATCAGACAGCCAAGGAGGTAAGCTGGGTGTCACATATTAGAGAGATAGTCATCATCCTATTGTTCCTCATGTAGGTTCTGGAGCCCCATTTTGGGGGAAATCCGAGGCCCCATTTGGGGGGGGGGGGGGTGGGGGGGGGGAGGGGGGGGGGGGGAATAGACCCATTTTCCCCTCACAAGCATGTCATAAAAGGTTACTAATTAGAGGTTTTTCCTTTAAAGTCAGAGCGCATCTGTCTGAGAGGCAAGAAACCAACAGCCTGCATACAAACAAGTCAGATCTCTAAAATGGATGTGCGAACAAGTTTTTGATCAACACCAAATTCCAGGAGATGACGAATGCCCAGAACTTTCCGCTAGAGTTACAATTGATGAACACTAAAAAGAAAAAGAAGATCATCCTATTGTGCTCTTTATTTGTCACTAAGGACCTTCAGTCTATTTCCCCATTCCATTTTATCCTCGCATTCCTTTCAGTATCATCACCTTTGACCTCTTTCATTATTATTCTTCACAGGGATTTTTTTTTGTATATCTTTGCTTCCTCAGTCAATTTGTTTTCTTTTTCACTACCTGTTTTGTGATTCTCTATCCTTGTGAGGGAAAAGTACGGAGGCTCAAATCGATAATTACAATCTGAGAAAAATGGCGCTGCAAAGATTTACCATGGAATCTGGCCGACGCTCAACACTCAAGGGAAAGACGAGGTGGATGTACAATCAGACAGTTACTGGTACCACCGAAATTGGAACGCTTCACTTGCTGCTGAAGATGGGGGATGGAGAGCTTATGGGAGTATCCAGAGTCTAAATTCAACATTCTACAGAACATGGCACCCATCACAGCCTGCCTGAAAGAAACCTGTTTCCAAGTCAGCACTCCCACCTCATGTCTTTCCTGCTTAAGGCATGTCTTATGTCCTGGGCCGACTTTCATTTTTTTGGGCCCCTCCCCTTCTTGCTACCTTGCCCTCCACTACTGTTCTTTCCTATCCCCCCCTGTAACTTTTTTATATAGACAAAGGGTATCAATTTCCCAGACAAGATTCTGTTCGTGTCATAGACATCTTCTCCAGTTTGTAACCGATTGGCCTATCCTGGGAGCCTTATCATCAGTCTTTGAGTTTATTTTTTATGTTTGTTCCCCCCCCTGTTTTCCCTTGCTTTCCACATCCACATAGCTTTAGTCCATGTCCTCAACCT